GTGTGAAATTATACATATTGAGTGTGCTGTTTTCCTGGGTTTGGAGATGATGATTCAGGATATGTCAAGGAAATAAGCAAGGTGTTTAGCTTTCCATAGCTTAGTTATTACATCTTTTAGAGAATGGTGCTGTATTCCCCAGGCAACTGCATTCACAGCCCATCCTCACTGATGTACTTCTACACTGGGCCTGGATCCCTGATCCTTCTCCAAGTAGCCTGGCCAGCACTAAGAAATAAAATGACATGTTTCTGTATTGTTTATCACCAAGTAAACAGTGATATGCAAAAGCTGGAGCTAAGGCTGCAAGGCACATTAGTAACTCAAATGTTACAAAGGAAAAATAAAAATAGAAGCAATGTTACATTCCAGTAACTTATCCCTAAAGCAGCCACGTGTAAATCCCAGGAATTGCCTAAGCTTCAGCCTGAAGGAAAATGAAGCAGTGTTTTGCTAATACGTTCTTCAGTTGCAGTAGAAGCTTTTAAGTGTACCCACCCCATATCTACTGTGAGTGTATCCTTCCAGTTTGGCTTTCTGAGCCATGAACTAGATCACAGAGCTGATCCAGCTTAGAAGGGAAGCGTCAAAGATATTTTTCTTTGAGCTGGCTGAGTTCTTTATCTGGACCACAGGCATCTGTGGGGTTGCAGAACTAAGGGGATAAGAGGGGAAAGGGCAGTGAAGTGGTTTATGGCTTGGTGGGGGAAACCTAAAACCCTACTGCTGCCAAGACGATGCATTGTCAAACTATGGCCTCACACATTCCCTGGCGTAGAAACACAAGGGTGCAAACTGCCTCAGCTCTGTTCTGCTCTGCAGCTGTGGGGATGTTTTTGGAGTGAGTGTAGGCATTACAAACTTGTGCAAGCCTTGGTACCATTCACAAAGAAGCCACAGTGATGTGGGGCTTTGGCAGGATGCACAGCTCCCTTCCCCCTCCAGGATTCTAGGTATTTACTTAGGCAGGTCTGAGCTGCTGTGGCTTCACTGCTCTTTTAGCAGGATTAGCTGGAGCACAGCTCGCTCAGAATCTTCTCTGCATGCTGCTGTTAAGCCTCTCAAGCAGCTATGGATGTTGTGCTGCTGTGAAAGTATGACACGTGCATTTGAACCATTGTGTGGCCTTGGATTAGACGCAGATAATCTTTCTTTTTACTTAGAAGTTAATTTCTTTTACCCTTCCTGCTTTCACATTAGGTCTGTGATTTCATATTTCCAAAGAATGAATGTGGCACCCAGCAGGAAGGGTGTAGGCAACAGGACAAGGGAGCAGTGTTGCTGTGGTCTCTCTGAGTGCCAGTGAATTTGTAACTGTAAATTTGTTAGATTCTTCCTTACCCCCCATCCAGGAGAAATTTAAAGCAGTGAGGGAGGGAAGCAGTTTAGAAGAAGGGGAGGCACAAGGTCACAGAGGAAAGGAATATTATGTTTGAGAAAAACAAAAGCAAATGAGAACGGGACAGAGACAAAAAACAAGATGAGAGGATGGAAGCAGTAACTGAGGAGGGAAATGCTAGAACAGACTCATATCAGCTGAAGCAAAGCAAGGCCAGGCTGTTGCTGTCAGAACCAAAGGTGGAAGTAAATGCTTGAGTGTTTTTTTGCAGAATGTGTGAATTAATGATGAGCCTTTGTAGCCCCAGGTGGTTCACAGCCCGTTGTGCTGGTGCAGGAGAGTGGTGCTGTTAGAGAATGTCGAGGGCCAGGGGTAGAAATAGTTCCTCTTGTGTGCTGGGAGGGCTCATTTCTGTAAGTCACAGGTGCTGCTCTTCTCTCTGGGATGAGATCTCCTTCAAGTTGCCCAAAGAGGAGGAGAAAGGGCTGTGCCTGGTGGTGAGATGAGAAGCAGAACACACGTGGAGCTGTGTCCTCGGTGTCTCTCTCTGGTGCTCTCTCAGCACACTATGTTGAGATCAACCTTGTTTGCTGCCTTTTTTTTTTTCCAGCAGTTATCTCTTGTTGCCGTAGTTCATCTTCCTCTGGCCTTGATGGCAAAGTTATTGATAGTAACTCTGAGACTGACTGGCCCTGAAATGATAATAAGAACCCTCTTAATGCTCACCTTGACAGAGACACTGGCTAAGAAAGCAAGTGCTCTTGTTTGAGCCCATGTGCTGTCTCCACTTGCCACGGAGCCCAGCAGCACCCAGAGCAGCTGGAAGTGTCAGAGCAGGTGAGCTCCTGGCTCTGATCTCTTTCCTCTGGTCTTTTGCTCTCAGGTGGAGGCTGAGCAGCTTGTGAGCATTGTGCTACGCTGAGGAGATGTGAATAACCCAGTTTCCTTGGCAACAGCGGGCTCTTTAATCACAGAGACACAAGGCTACCTCTGTTCCTGGTGTTCAGGCTTGCCTAGTGTATCTGGCTATGGCAGTACTTTGCTTTTCTTGGGAAAAATGGCAAATAAAAGCAAGAAGATCTTTCTGCCTTTGAGATAATTAAAATCTCTATCGGTGGATTTCAGTGCTGTATTCAGCAATAATAGAAAGAAGAGGGATTATAACTACTTCTAAGCTTTTTAATGTGTGAAGAATCCCTGGAGGATACAGAAATAAAGTTTTAAATTCTGTGTGGGTCTTTATGAACAGATCTTACAGCAGTCTGTGACAGTGCTAGATTCATTCCTTGGTGAAATGACTTATTTTCTATTTTATGGCTAGGGAGACAAAGTGATTCAAAGGTAGACTGAATCTTGTTGCAAAGTTAAGAATAAATATCCCTCTGAGCTGATCCTCCACCTGGAGTTTCCTCCAGTTTCAGGTAAAGGTTTTCCTGTGCAGTAGGAGACAGAACATGTTATGGGTGGTAGAAGTGTGAAGCTTCTGGTTTTTAGCTGGAGAAAGTGAGGAAAGTGGAAATACTGTTACTCACTGCAAGCCTTTCTGCTAATGTATTTTAGTCTGCATTTACTCCCCCACTAACAAAAGTGGAGCAAAATATTCATTTTGAGAGTGAGCACTGGGAGTGAAAAAAATATTCCTGCCTTAATTTCCACACGGCAATTTGGTCTTGTTATTGCAGGAGTGTGGAGAAATTGATTTGGATAAGAATAGTTTGAAGAGACTTCTGCAGGAAAAAGGAACTCTTCCTTGAGTAGGCTTGGGGCCAGCAGAAGTGCCCAGTACTGGTGTTCCCCCTTGTTCAATTGTCAGTGATGTATCACAGGTTCCTTGGGTTTTCACGTTTTCAGCAACTCCCATTCAAGCTGCTCTTTAGCAAATCAACTTCTGTGGTGTTTTCTAAATGGCTGTGGACTTCTGAAAACCTCTAACATCTAGACCAAAGCTCCTTCCAGAGAACAGATACCACCTTCCCTCTGCCCTTTGTTGCTGTGATTGTGCACAATCTAACAAATCTTTGGAGGAGCTCTGGGAGCTTGAGCACAAGGTAATGACGTGAGCAGGTGGGTGACATAAAACTCAGTGAGTTTGTTAAAATAATATTGCCACAGTCCTTCGGCAGCCTAAAGGCCTCGTACCAGGCTGTTACTTAGCTGGGTGGCATTTGGTACAAGCTGAGACAGAGCTCACATCTACAGTGAGTTTATTGTTGGGTTTTCAGTATATTGTTTGTGTAAATTCCCCAGACCAGCTCTCCCTCCTGAAAAAGCCACATAGATCAAGTTTTATTCTGTTCCACATAAAGTTCACATCTTTTACTGAAATGAGTCATGCTTTAACTGAGTTTACTGTGAGGGAGGAAAGTGGGCTTTAAAATGTTACTCCTCCACCCTGCCTTAGTGATGTATAACAGGATTATTAGTATGCTTGGCAGCAGCTGCTTATTATTTTCACAGAACCTGGGTATTTATGAAAACAAGAAATTGCTTTTGCTTGTGTTCAAGTTTAATTGTTTTTCCTTTTTTCATGGCTTTGTCTTCCATAAGGCTCACTGGCTTCTGTAAAGGCAGATCTAGCTTATCTCCTTGGGGTTATTTTTCAGTTTGGGGAGAAGGGTGACATTCTGTGACTTGTAGCTGAAAGAGGAGGAACAACTCTACCATTTTGTGGAGGGTGGCCCCTGCATGGCTGTTACTGTCACACACAGGACACTCCTGGGAGTTGGCTTTGGCAGGTGAAAGTGCTTCACAGGCCCATGGAAGTTGTGGTGCAGTGTCACTGTGCAGACACCAAATTTGGCTCCTCTGTGTATATTTCTTTGTGCAGAGAGGTGAAAAGCCTTTTAGCTTGTGGCAGAAGGAGCTGCTCAGTGTGTGTGTCCTTGGTTTTTCTGCAGGAGCAGTCTCTGTACGCAGCAACTAAAGATGCCAGAACCAGTTTTGCTGTTCATTTCTCCTGAAGAAGTTCATTGCTGTCTCATACAGCAATGGTTAACTTGACTCCTCATACCACCATCCTTTATTGCTTGTGTTTTGGTTGTGTTGGTTTTGGTTTTTGGGGGCAGGGGAGACAGGCTGTATAGAAGGGAACAGTGTGGTGATTTGTTTATTTGTTTAAGGGGTTAAGCTCAAAATACAAGGAGAGGCAGCCAACAGAAGAGGACCTTTTAGGATTTTATTTTTGGCAGTGTGCTGGTTCACTCAGCACATAAGACCTCTCTCTCCTACTCTTCCTGTTGCTGAGAGGAGAGTTACAGTTCTCCCCAGAGTTATGTATTACCTGTCTTTGCTAAACTGGCAGGGGCATCATCTGCTCTTGATTGACAGAAAAGCCAGAGTTTGTTACCCAGTAGGTTCCTAAACACAGACTGGTGACTTTTATGGAGCCAGAAAAAGCATTGATTCTGATGCTAATGCTTTTGGAGGAAAATGTGAGGGAAGGATCTGTAATTAAATGACCGCTAATGCCAGAAAGGACTTTGTCTTTTAGGACTTAGAATAAGTGAAATGAACTTCTGGTGACGACATGAATTTAATTATATTTACCCCTCTCCTTGGTCTGTATTTAGCCATCGCTGACCCCGGGTGATGTGAGCAGCGCTGCCCTGCCCGTGTTGCCCGTGCCCTGCAGGGTGAGCAGAGCCTGTGTTGTGTTTTGCAGATGCCCCGTTCGGGGGGACCCCGCCTGGCTACGCGTACGATGCTGACCGCGCCGAGGAGCAGAGGCGGCACCATGACATGATGCCCTACATCGATGACTCGCCATCCTCCTCTCCACACCTCAGCTCCAAGAGCCGCGGCAGCCGGGACACGCTGTCCTCGGGCTCTCTGGAATCCACAAAATCTGTGAGTCCTTCCCTACCTTCCTGCACTCAGCAGAGCCCTGTGGGTTTGTGAGGGCCTCAGCCGGGGGCTGACAGTGCTGTGGGACATCAGCCCATGTAATGCAGCACTGCCAGGCTGCTGCTCGACACTGAAAGCTCAGCTGAGGCTTTTAGCTCATGCAAGGACTAAACTTCAGGGGTCAGTGGTGTGTATGTGAGCCCTTTGTGCAATTTAGTGGAGAGAACTGGTGATTAATTGCAGTTGAGAAGGTCTCTAAATAGATATTTTGGAAAGGAGACTGTGGAATGTAACACATTCATACATCTCTGCATTTGAATTGTCATTGCCTTTCACAAGGAAAATAAAAGTTATTTTCAGGTAGGTTAAGGGTTTTAATCAAGCATCTGGAGGACCTATTTCCTTCACCCTGTGAAAATGAAATAAAAAGAATTAAAAGTGCCAGCTCTGAAATGGTGACTTTGGCCACTACTTGTAATGGATTTGACTGTTCACTAAACAGCTTTCTATATAATCAATTATCATAGATTAAAAATACAGAAGGGACTGCCTTGCCTAACCTGTGGCTTAACACAGCCCTTCAATCTACCTTGCTTTGGTTTTGCTTCAGGTTCAGTAGCATGGCTATAGCTTGGAACTTCAGGAAAATTTCTACTTTTGGTTTTACAATATTCTTGGTAGTGGGTCATCTGCATGCCTTGGTGAAGAACAACTGACTCTGCTGTTTTCACAGTCCAAAATGTCCTAGTTAGCTTGGATTAGTCCTTTCTTTTTTCAACCTTTTGTTTCTTTTTATCCTTTTGCAATAGATTGCAGAGCACTTGAGTCCCAAGTTACTGTTTCCCTGAATATCTTTGTCATTTTCAAACTTTTGGGTTCCCCAAATCATTCATAAAAATGTTCAATAGCACAAAGCCAACTGTCACTTCCTTCCTACAGTACTTCTAAGAAAATGTGCCAAACAACCTTGAATTCCCACATTGTAAATGACACTTTGAAATCTCTCATCCAAGTGTTTTAACTTAATGTGTTGCCTTTATATTGTTCTTTTCTGTTCATTAAGATGTCATGGAAGATAATTATGGATATTTTAGAGATATCAGTGTACATGTAAATCAACACCATCACCATTATCAGGCAGTTTTATTTATCTTGCATCAAAAGACAAATCTGAGAAGTTCCACAAACCATCAGTGCTCAGTGTTCATTGTACACATCCTTCTGCTCTCAGCTGGTTACTGTCCCAGCTATGCTTACTGCTCCCAGGATTAATTCTAGGCTAAGAATCCTTCCTGATACAGTGTCCTCATTCTCTCTCATTTATAAAATTCATTGTCAAGATCTCTTAAAGCATTATGGAGTTGATATATTGTTGGTGTTTGCTTAATTTTATTTGACTATAAAGTGTGGAATCTAGTTAGCCGCTTAGGCTTCAGCGTATTCATTTTGAGATGCTTTCTTATCTCTCAAGATGAGAATTCTTGCGATATTTAAGAGGCTTTTGAATGAAGAAATTATCATTAGTAAGTTCAAAAAGCTCCAAAACCATTTTAATATTGGCTTGAGATTCTCAGGTTATGTTTCTCAAGATGAAGGAAAAACATGTGACTACACATGGCTGAGAATTATCTTCAAAGAGCCAGTTATGACAGTGCCTGTGACTGGAGGCCTGGAAGGGGCACTGCCTAATGGTTAATCTTGTTCTTTATTTGTTTGAATATTGCCTCATAAGCATTTAACAGTAGTTAATTTAAAAGTTACTTTAATAATGCTTGAAGGCTGCTTCCTCAAAAATAATTTTTAACATAAATTGCTTCTTTCTTTTTTCTGACTATAAAAAGATGTTTCATGGCTTCCAAAAGAAAGACATGTCCTGATACAGATTAGACTTCTAATCATGAATCTCAACTATTTCACTTGATCCTGTCTGTCATCAGTCCACGATGACAATCTCTGGACAGTCCATGACAAGCAAAAAGAGACTAATTTATATCCAGATATTTCCCAAGCAAGTTAAGCTTTCAGTCATCATGAGCTCTGAGGTAGCTTTTGCTGAGCTATGTTTTCAGCTATAGTGGAAAAAGCATCAGTAACAAAATTGTCAAACACACTGAGCCAAACACGTAACACGTGTTGGACCAGAAATACCAGGACGTATGTCTCTTCTATTTTCTTTTGTACTAAACTTGATTAGCAGAAAACATGCTTTGTTTAGATGTGTTTGCTTCTAAAGTTGTCTTCTTGCCTTTCTGCTTTTAACCGAGGTGCCTGCAGTTACTTGTGAAAATTTCAGATTATTTTTATGGCCAGAGTCTGGAAGTGAAGTGAACTGTTTGCAGCAGCACCATGCATGCACTACATACATCGTGGCAAAACATTAAGGTTGTAAAGTCATTCAGAAGTTAAGAAGTCTTGAATCTTGATAACTTTGAATTACTCAATTGGCCCATCTTTCCTGTGAGCTCCTGCACTGTGCAGTGGATAGAGTGAATGATACTGCATTCAATATTTCATATCTAAAGTGTGAACCTTATCCGGTCTGGGTACAAAAGTATTCATTTCCAGTAACTCCAAATACAGCTGGAATGCCACACAGGTCTTAATTGTCCTTGCAGTGTTTCTGAGAGATAAGAGGATGGTATGTTCACTAACCACAGGTAATCAGGGCTGACAGGTTTTGGGAGAAGCATCTGCTAATTTTGGGTGTTTAATTTGAGATGTGTAATGTTCTGCAAAACCAGGTTCTGACTTTTAACACAGCTTTCTTCACATTAAAGTAAAATTCATTTAATATCACTTTGCAACCGAGAGGTAACAGCACTCCTCCAGTCAGGCACCCAGAAAACAGAAAATGTAGCAAACAATGATATTTTAAATTTACTTTTTATAAATATAAATCTAAGTAATACACTTACCATCACACAGGCATTGCAGCATTTTGCTGTGATGTTCATCTGCCTCATCCATGAGACCTCTTGGGGACTGCATTGTTGCTCTCTGAATACTGAGGGCATTTTTCCTTTGACTTATTTTATGGGCTTGCTCCGGGCTTTGTATTTTTCTGCCAGGTGTTTGACTGAGTTCTTCCACGTCGCTAGAGCAGCCCTTGGTGGGGGTAGCACATGGGGGCTCAGCAGCTCTGTCCAGCCACCTGGGCAGTGTTTTCTACTCCCTCCTACCACCTGTATCTCAGGAGCAGACGAGGGGCAGAGCCTGCTCTGCCTCCACACTGCCCCTGCAGCCAGGGCTGCTGTGTATCCCCCTTGTTCCCTGGCCACTGCACAAACTGCTGCTGTCCAAGGAGGAGGATGAGGCTGCGCCAGCAGCTGACCCAGAGAGGGACAAGCAACACAGATGTTTGTAGTGTGGATCTCAGCAGCCCTTTACTTGTCATTTGTGTGGAAGGGAGGCCTTAACAAATGTTTTTAGTGTCTGACCCACTTGCTCCATTCCTTCTGGCTCTTCTAGAATCTCAGGCTGGGCTGCTGATGCATGTCCTGCCATTAAACCTGTGCTTTTGCCAAACTTTGCTCTGAAGCAAGCCTACAGGGACAGAGGAAAAAAGAGAAATAGGTTCCACTAATGCTCAAGTTGTTTGTTTATTTAACTTGAGAAGAGATTTAATTTTCCCAGATCTTCATTTCTGTAACAGCTGAACTGTTGTGATTGAACTTTACAGAAATTCTGGAAACCTCTCTTGGAAAATGTCAGCCCAAATGTTTGCCAAATAAGACAGTGCTGGTAGCTTCAGAAGGTGTTAGACTATTGGTAAAAAATAGAGGTAATTCCCTCCCAGAAAGAGAGAATGTGTCTGTCTTTTCCATACAGTGAGGGTGAAGAGCAGAGAAAATACCTGGATAAAGTCAGAGGAGGACAGAGGGAGAGTTTGCTGCAGTATTCTTAGGCCACAGGAAGGTGTAAGGACAGCTGGAAAATCAGGGACTGACACCCTTCAGAAGAGAAGAGTTACTGCCAGGAGTTCTGGAGTGGGTAGCTTGCAGCCTGGAGGCTAAAGAAGGCTGGGAGAAGGGGGAAGCCTCACTCACTGTCGTCCTGGTGCTGCTCCTCATGGGAGCAGAATTTGCAGCCCTGGGAAGTGCAGAAATAAAATAGGAAAGGCCTTTCAGGATGCTCAGCAGCAGCAGAGGCAGGCTCAGAGGCTGGGGGGGGTTCTGTGGAGGTGGGTGCAGGGCAGGCAGTGGAAAAGCAAAGCTCATTCCACTGCCCCAGGAAATGAGGGGAGTCACTTCTCAGAATTTAGAAGATGAGTTTTTGACAAAACAGATCTCTCCAATTCTTGCATATGTCAAAGCAAGGGAGGCAGGGGTGCTAAAGCTGAGCGACTACCTCCTACTGTCTGTTCTGTTTGGAGGAGAAATTGGCTGGTTCTTGCAGACTTTCAGGTAGAATTTCTCTTTTCTGCTGTGCATCCATGGTTGGTGCAGCATTGGCAGCCATTGCCTGTCCTCAGATCAGATCCTTTTGTTCCTGCTGTCTGTCAGCTCAGCAAGAGCAGGGCTGTGGCAGAGCAGGTTGTGGATTTTGCTCCTAGCTTGGTCCCAAGGGGATGCAGAGAAGCTGACCTCTGAAGCTACAGCAGTAAATGGGATTACTGCTCTTGATACTACTCTTGCTAGCTTGTCCTTCCCCCTCCAGCATTTCCTAACCATTCTCCTTTCTTCCTCTCTGTATTTGAATTGGTTTGTTTGTTTTGTTTTACTGTCCCTTTCCCCTCAGCACCCCCAACAGATGCAGTTTTTTCTTTTTATTCTCCAGTTCTTTGCTCCTTAAGGGCTCTGCCTGGATGTACAGCCCTTCCTGAGGAGAGCTGGCACACCAATACTGATGTTATAAATAATGTTGGCTCCTCTCCCTGCTGCTTCCCCTCCCCACATGGAGCATGATTGGCTTGATTACAGAATTTGCCCAATTTAATATCACCAAGACAATGAGAAACCTCCAGCAGAAGCTTTCAAACATATTTACACTTTAAAAATGGAACTGAATGTTTTTCTCCTTTGTAGGCTTCGTCAGGTTCTGTTTGAGATTGTGAGCTGTCCTTATGGGAAACCTTGCCTTTGAACACATTCCTTGCAGGGTGAATGAACACCCTGTACCAAAGGAAGAGTTAAAGTGCCTTTTGTACGCCCACTTTGAATCCCTGATTCTCTTTAAAGAGCTGTGCCAGCAGCAGCCTCTTTGCAAAATCTTACGTATTGTGGTTTCTCAATTCTTAGTCTGTGCTCTTCTACCATTTGCAAGAAAACAATTATTGCTGTTAATTTAAACAAGAACCAGGAAGCCCTGAATTCTTTAACCAGAGTCAGGAAGAGCTGAATCTGTCTAAACCTTGGAGCTGGTGAATGTCAGCCTCGCAGTAATTGAACACAACACGCGACGCCAGGCTGGTTAGTAAACTAAAGTACTTGGGCTGACAAGCTGTAAACACATTCAACCCAGCCATGGCTCAGGGCCAGTGTGTGCACTCTGATATCTCCAGAGCTTCCAACCCCTCTCACTGGCCATGCTTCAGGTTGCAAGATCACACTGTGACTCAATCTTTTGGTTTTTAAGGCTTTGGAATAGGAAAAAATCACCACCCAGTTGAGAAGAGAGAACACCAGGATCTTACAGGCATGAGATATCTGTGTAATTTCCTGCGTCCTGCTTTCCATCTTCCTTACTGTTTTGGTGTTTTTTAAATGTAGTTCATGAGGAGGGGAAGCAAAGCACTGATTTCTTATCTGTTCAGATCTGGCTGGGTGCTGGGTTCTCACAGCTCCCATGGCAGGGAGACAGGAATGCTCTGACTGCTGCCCTGTGCAGTTTATTCTGAAACACGTGGGTAGAGAGGGAGCCAAAAGATGGGAGGGCAGTGGAGAAAGGACAGTGGAGAAAGGCTAGGAATGGATGCTGGCCTTGAAGAGGCAGGGACATGAAATACCAGTTAGACTTGTACAAGTGGAAAACAGGCTAGCCGAGCTGGGTAGGAAGCATGGGATGGACTGCTGACCACCTGGCACTCCCTGCTGAGTGGTTAGAGTTTGCCAATACAGGCTGCTCCCACTTCCTGCAGGGAACATCCCATCTGCACTTTGGTAATAGGTGTATTTTCCCCATCCTCTGTGGTCTGGTAGATGTGGTACCAGCTCCTGCATTTGCCACAAGCAGCTCAAAGATTTCAGACTGCTCCCTTCTTTCCAGGGTAGGGGAAAGGAGTCCTCAGCCTTGGCAGGTCTCTCTGTGCTGGTGGGGAGCTTGGTACCGATGCTCAGGATGTTCCCTCTGTCCTGGCTGGAGTGCAGGAATAGAGGGGCAGCCAGGCTGTTGGAGTCAGTGCTGCTCTTTGTTTTCTTTCTGTGTCAGACACGGGCAAAGCAGAAATGCCCATGGCCCGGAGTGCATCACAGCCTGGCTGCTGTGTGGGCAGGGTGGGAGGATGGTCCCTGTCTCTACCTGCTCGCTGCTGTCCTGCTCTGGGCGAGCAGGTGAGTCTGTTCCCAGGTCTGTAAGTGAGGAATGTTGTAATACCAAATAATAAACTTATTCTTCTTCCTCCTGATTTTGGCGCCAAGTGAATTTCTGAGTCTTGGAGTACATTTTGTAACAAGTGTGACTTAAAAGGACCCTGAGGCTGAAGAAGCACGGGCTGTTTTCCAGATGTTCGATGTTCTCCACGCAGCCCCAGCTGACACTGTGAGCCAAGGCCTCCCTCAGCAGGAGCTCTTGTCAGGACACAACTCCCGGGAGGGAGCAGGAGCAGCAGCACAATGCACAGAGCAGGTCCTGGCTGGTGCATTGATCCCTGACACAGCAGGAGCAGGGGATCATCTTTTCACACTGGAGGAAGCTGTATGTAAATTTGGGGTACTGCATTGGAGATCTTGTAATGTGCCCTGTGATTGTTGGATCAACTCCCCTGAGGGTTTCTTGAGCAATTGCTGTGCAGAGCATCAAGCAGCCAGGCCCTGCCCTGTGTCCTGGCTGGCTGTGGCCGAGGCTGGACTTCTGCAAGCATCACACTTGGAAAAATGCCCCTATTAAAAAAGGGGTAGGACAAAACCGTGGATTTTGCACAGTGCCCTTGTGGTAATGGCCAGGAAGGAAGGCCTGCAGTGTGTTCTGGGAGATGTTTGTCTCTCTGAAAGTGCATCTCTTTTAACGGGAGGAAATTAACATTCCGGCAGAAAATGCTGTCTCCGTCAGCTGATGGTGCCCAGCAAGAGCTGGCTTGTAAATTAAAGCTTTTACTTGTGAAGAGAAAAACTGTTCTCAGTGCTGTAAGGAAAACTGTTGTGTCTCTGTCATGATGAGGAAATTTAAGTCATTTAAATAACTTGTTATTGTGTGCTACTCTTTACAGATGTTACAAACATACCCAGCTGTTTTTTAAATCCTCACCTCCTCCAAGAGAACCTGGTAAAGATAATTATGGTGCTGTGTCAATATTGACCAGTTACCTCATCCTCAGCAATGCGGACTTTGGAGCACTGTTAGTTTTCCTCAATGCTTCTTTGTGTAGCTGCACTTTTTCTTTTGTAGGTGTTGTAAGAAATCATTGGAGACCAAGAGCAATTGTGTTTTTCTTGCACCAGGGCTGCCACATCCCTTCCTCTTTGGATGAAGGCAATCTTTGTTAACCACCTTGGGACTGCCTGTCTTGAATACGTGTGTGTGCCATGCCTGACAAAATGGTCCATGAGCTGGGCATGCAGGCACAGAAACCACAAGGAATGGTCCCAGCCCTGTTGAACATTTCTGTGCCAGTCCCACTGTGCTCCATGGATGCACACAGTCTGGTCCAGTGTTCATTTCACCATGCAGTTTCTCACTTGTGTTTTTCTAAAGTCTTCTGAAAACTGGTGAATTAAAAATTTCTGCCTTCTTCGAGATGCCCTTTCAAGATTTTAAAAGGTACTGTAGTTCTTACTGAATGTCACTGAAGGGTGGTATGCAAAGAGAAGTTCTTTCCATGTAGTACCTAAAGTGTGTAAATCTTACTCATTTCCTTAGAGCAGCTTCTGTCTGCCACTTTTATTTAAGAGGTGGTGGTGGTATTTGGCACCTCACAAAATTTTTATGAAGTAGTTGCTGCAAGTCTTTTAGGCTAGAATATAGCTTGTGAAATTTAATGAAACTGTTCAAAAATCAGGATGGTTATTGATGAGACAGAATCCAGAAATATCTGGGAGCGTGAGGATCTGTTTCTTTCTTTGTGTTGTGCGTAGGCTCAAAGTCACACTCAGGATGTGATAGTTCCTGCAAACTGAACCTCTAGCCCAGGTACCTCATCTGTACATCTGCAGAGGACCCTAAACTAAGTGGAGCTTTTTTTGGGGGCAGCTACAGAGCTGTATATTCAGTCACTAGAGCAGAGTGTACTGCTCTGCTTCCTGATCCTCCCACTGTGAAATCAAAAGCTGAAGATTCCTCTGGATATTAAGAGTAGGATGGAGCCCCAAAAAACCTACCCAAATCCCTTGAAAAGCATGTACCCTTTCAGAGCCAACTTCTGATTCTATTCTTAGAGACATTTAACAACATAAAAAGGTTGCAGGAGTTTTAAAATGCTATTTCTGTGAATGACAGAAATAAAAAGAACTGGGAATAGGAGTCTGTAAAAGGGGGATGTTTCTCATTATTTATAACCTTCATTGCTTGACCAAATTTTTCTAGAGTTTTTGGAAACCCTTGGTTTCACTTTATCAGATTAAACACTTTTTCAGGTAACAGTTTTGAGAGGAAGGATAATTGAAATTCAGCAGAAGGGATTTACTGCTTCTCTTAACACTTCATGCTAGTCTTCCCCATTAGCCCTTGAACACAGTTATGTGGGGCTTACTTCCCCCTCTCTTCACTTGTTTTGGTTAAGAGCTCCTTCATGGAATCCAAATAAGAAAATCAGCATGTGCATTCCAAAACATGCTGGTTATTCCATCCTCTCACTAAAAACAGACACTGTGCAAGCTGGCACTGAAAAATAATTCAGGGAATAGTAGAGAGTGGGAGGAAGAGCAGCCTTGTGGAGCCAGGTCAGGCTGTGACCGTGGTGTGTTCATGCATATCTGGGGAGGTGCAGATCCTGTCTGCTCACAGAAACGCAGCTTTGGAACGAAGGAGGGAGGGCATTGCACAGAACAAGGGCCCTAAGATTTGTTTAGGAGGATGAAGTCTGAATTTTCAAGTTCCATGTTTTAAATTTTGTGAAGAAGTATAGGCACCTAATTGATCCAACCAGAGTTGGATGATTAAAGCTGAGACCTGTAAATAATCTAAGTGATATCAGTTGCTGGTAAATAAAAATTTCTTTAATGTTTTATGTTTGCATATTTCTAGAAATAAGATGCTGAGCACAGGTGGATGTTTTTGTTTGGTTTTTAGTCTGAAAATAGATCGAAAAAACAAATGTGCTCTGGTCGACTGAATGATCTTTTACTCTCCATCCTCATTCTTCAGGTTTTTTTTTGCTTTCCCTGCAACATGCTCTTTATTTTTTTAATTTTTTTTTTTTCTCCTAAACAACTTCTTTGTAGAGTGAGCCAGACCTGGAGAAAGGCCTGGAGATGAGAAAATGGGTCCTGTCAGGAATCCTAGCCAGTGAGGAAACCTATCTGAGCCACCTGGAGGCCCTGCTGCTGGTAAGGCTGGGGACGGATGCCAGTTCAAACACTGGTACTTGAATTTTCACTTCTTCTGTCCACAGTTTCCCTGAACTTCACATACCATGGGTTACAAGTTGCTGGGTGCAAAAGGTGCTATTACTCCTCTTCTCCAGTAGAGAGAGAGGCTTAAAGGAAGAACTGGATGTAGCAGTTTGGGAGTTGTTAATGTGGCAGTATCCAGGAGCAATGTCTTTAAGTATCCTGTGCTAATTATTGCACATTGCTGTACAGTTGGACAGAGATTAGGGAAATGGAGTGCAAAGAGATTTTAATTGCAGCATTAATATCCAGGGAAAATCCACCTACCAGGGGTGGCTGATCCCCATGAGAGAACTTGTTCATGTCTGGTTTTCAGGAGTTGTGTGAGTGCAAATCTCATTTTTTATCAGTGTGAAAAATAACTCTATGGAGGGATGTGTTTGCAGTGTGGCAAAGGTGAGTGTTCATGCTTTGTGTGATAATATTCCTTCTTTCCTCATTTCAGCCTATGAAGCCTTTGAAAGCCGCTGCCACCACCTCCCAGCCTGTGCTGACCAGTCAGCAGATTGAGACAATATTCTTCAAAGTGCCTGAGCTCTATGAGATCCACAAAGAATTCTACGATGGGCTCTTTCCCCGAGTGCAGCAGTGGAGTCATCAGCAACGTGTTGGGGACCTCTTCCAAAAGCTGGTGAGTCAGCTGCCATCACCAAAGGTGCAGGTGCCCCTCACTTGTCTCACAGGAGCTGGAGATTCCCTTTGGTGACTGCAGAGACCAAAGGGATCAAAAGTCTGTGGCTGGAATAGATGAGAGGTTTCTCACCTCCTCACTTTGCCACTGCTCTGGAGACCCTACAGCAAAAGTGGCTCTTTCATTGTCTTTAATTAAAGACTGCAGCAAGCTGTGGTGGTAAAATAAATACAGTTTCACACAAATGTTGAATCTTCAGGGTTTCTGCAGAGTCCTCAAAGCATTTCCTTTAGATGGAGATGGGAGAGTGGCAGTATTACAAAGTGAACTTCTTAACAGCAACAGTGAAGTGTTGCTCATTACTGTTGAACTCCCCCACACATCTTTCCCTCTCTGGTGCTTTGCTCTACTTTTTGCTGATTTATGGTCATCACCATTGGCTTTGCTTTTCTGCCACTCTCCTGGCCTTTTTGTTCCCCTTGCTGTTATGCTGATGCAGTCAACCCGCAGCTGAGAATCCTCCAAGCAACCTCAACAAAATTCTCTGAGTGCAGAAAAGGACAAAGACATATACAGCATATTCCTGAGGCTGAATTAAAATTGCTGAGTTTCTGAGCCAGATGACAAATTGTTTGCATTCTAGGAGGTTTTTTTGTCCCCTCTAGCCTCTCCCCTAGCATGTGCAGAGAGCAAAGGATTAAAGGAGCTGTTTTTTCCTTTTTAGAAAAGAAAAGAAGCTCTGCATTCCTGAGGTGCCTCTGGTTCTCAGGGTAGGAGTGACATTCCAGTGAGGGGTTTATTGGCTGGGGAGTGTGCTTTACAGGGTCCATCAGTTGTTAGCAGCTGTGTAGCCCAGCATCAGCCCCATCCCCTATGGAGCAGGGGGAGCTGGCCTGGAAGATGATGTTTTCTGTACATGCCAGCAGCTCAAGATGAAAATGCAGGAATCTGCTTTTCACTGCCAGCATGTTTTAGCCAGGAGGGGTCAAGTTGGTGCCTTGGTGAATAGTTCATGGTATGCAATTTGAGCAGCTGGTTTGAGAGGACAAACCCAGCTGCTGCTGGGTGCTGAAGCGGACAGAGAAGGCTGATGGAAGTGACAGCCTCACAAGCTGCCCTGGATGTGTGGTGCAGCAATGGGAATAGCACTAATTGGAGAAGATCTGAACCTATTTCTCAGCAGGGCTGTCCAGCAACCCTCTACTCACTGCACAGCTACTCAGGCTTTTGTTTCAGACCATTTCTTGTTGCTGGCTGATCTCACGTGCAGGAGTTCAGCCCTTCCTCTGCTCTTACATTCCCCTGATTTTTCTGCATTTGTGACAGAATTGTTGATTTTGTTGGATTAGCTTTGGAAACAAAGGAACAAATTGCCCTAGTGCTGGAGGCTTTGAGCTGGCAGAGCAGGTTCAGTTTCGGGTGGTTTGGTACAGCAACGGTGGGAATTGCAAACTCTTTGCTGGATGAGATAAAGCTAATAATTCTTGGCAGGCACTGGGAAGCAACTAGATGAGAGAGACAGCAAGAACATCAGGCTTTATAAGGCATCTACACTGGATGTACATCAAATCTTTTGGAGCAGACTGTTTACTCGTGGTCATGTCATGCTGTCTGATGATAAACACTGAAATACCCAGATGTCCCTGGTGACATTAATTTTCTGTACTCACATGCAAAAAACAGCACAGTAGATTTAAGTTACAGATAGTGGATGCAAAGAATTTTAGAATTCCTTGTGTCCTGGCACAATCTATTTGCAACATCAACTTGACTGTTATTACACCTTTTCCTGTTGAGAAAAAGAAAAGATGCCAGGCATGTGGGAGTGAAATACGCTTCTCATTTTTGGGAAATATATTGTACATATTTTTTTATAGCTAGAAAGGAAACTCTTTAAAGCTGTTTTTAGAAATGAAGAAATATTTAGCAAACATCCTCACTTATAGGTGTCAGAAGCAGAAAAGAATATGTCCAAAAGCCAGCCATTTCTACCAACTCTTGTTTCATTTTCAGTGGGCTCTTTTTAATTGAAAAAAAAGTTAAAGCAGCATGAAAACAGTGTGTGAGCATTATGCTTTGATTGGAAGCTCAGTTTTTAGTGCAAAAGATGTCTTTGTGATGACACATTCAGAGAAGGAAAATGAAAGCTTAGAAAGACTGTTCAGGAGTAGCAGGAAATGAAAGAACTGCATGAGAATGGAGAAACTTTAACGTTCTGCCATGTTAGCTGGTACCGTTGAAATCTGAATGGCATAAGCCCTAAATGGTCAGTAATTCTGACAGCAATCACTTCACAGGATTGTGCCTCAGTGGCCAATACAGATTTCATTCTCTCCTGATATAAGTGAGCACAGTTTTCTTCAGCTTCAGTCACAACTGTGTAATGTTGTATAAGGGTTGAGATTGGTTTCTAGTCTTTCAGTGGAATGTGACCTAGGAAATAGCTCACTGTTTCTCAGCCCTGCTAACAGAGTTTGTGCAGGGAATGTTGTCCTGAGAGTGGCTTTTTCTCTTCCATCACCTCTTGCACAAAGCTCCACAGAGAATGGGGAGCACCATGGTTATGAGGGAGGGCAGGAGCAGTGGGGAAGTTCCCAGCTCTGCCTCTTGCCCATCTCAGGCAGGGCTCAGGGTGGGTGCAGCCCCCTGGCAGTGTCTCCTTGCTGCTGCCCTGCCCTGTGGGCTGGGGCTGCTGAGGTGTGCCCAGCCCAGCCTGGCAGCTCTGCAGCACAAAGCCAGCTCTGCACTCCAGACAGGCTTGGAGGCTCCCCAGGGATTTCCCGTGCTGGATCTTGTGCTCTCTGGCGTGAATATGGCTGCAATTCCTAAGTCAGCAAACGGGATCAGTGCTAAGACTCTGTGATAATAATGACTTATTACTGCACTCTGAGGCCTGTTCCATCGTCTTCTGGACCAATTCCATATTCCTTCTGCTGGAAAAACTGCCCTGATTTTCTGTCACCTAGTGACCCAGTCACTTCCATCCAAACAGATTGTGCTCTGCATCTCTCTTCTGTATTTTCAGCACTCTGCTGCCCTTATAATAATGCTCACTAATGCAGATATGGGTAATATCTGCAAAGTATCCATCATGCAAAGGCCAACAAGTAGCTTACTGGGGTCACATTTGTGCTGTTGGGCTGAATCATTCCTCCCTGATTCATATGTTGTGGCAAAAAGCCAGCAGCTCCAGTTACATCAATGAGCTGCAATATTAATAGATACTAATCTGGCAGTTCAGAAGGGAAAAATAGATGTCATAAATAAGGATGTGTCATTCTCGTAGGCTTTCACATCCTTCACAAGTAAACTTGTTCAGCATAGGGTGGAACTGGGTGCATGGGGGCACCAGTGCTGGTTAGACAAAGTTGAGAGGTCAGAAATGTTCTGGGCCTGCTCAGCATTCTCTGCAGTTGTTAGGTGTGAAAAAGCTGATCATTGCATACCAAGACTGACCATCCCAAACTGCCCTCTTCCCAGCATTTATTATATTTTGTTTTGCTTCCTGCAGGCCAGCCAGCTGGGAGTGTACCGGGCCTTTGTGGATAACTATGAAGTTGCTATGGAGACAGCAGAGAAATGCTGCCAAGCCAATGCTCAGTTTGCTGAAATCTCTGAGGTAATGTCACGGTGTTCAGACACATGAGCTGTCTGGCTCTGACTAATACCCTGCCATGTCACTCCTGTCAATTCTCCAAGTACCTCTGCAGCCTTGACTTCTGGAGGAGTTGTGAGCTCCCACAGACTCCCTGCTTCAGCTCGTGTTCTTACACTGAATTGTACCTCAGGCTGCTCACAGACACAGCCTTTGTGTGCTGTCCCCACCCAGGGAATCTGGTAGAAACTGGCATTGCTTTGAACTTCTCCAGCTTTGTGCCACCTTCATACTTTTCTAGAAGGGAAAGCTCTGTGTGACTTTCTCAAATGTTTCTCTTACTAATGATGATTCTGGCTGTGGCATAAAAGCCATCCTTAATGGCTTGCACTGTGGCTGTCAGTGGGATTGCAGCCTTCACTGGCATGGAGAGGAGAGGGTAATTCTCTCTTGAAAAAGGCAAGTGTGTCAACCGTAAATCTATAATACTATTCTTTGGCCTGCTCTGATTTCCTCTCTGTCAGAGGAGTACCTGTCTCAAAGCATTTTGAATATTTTCTTCTGAGACCATCAGCTTTCCCTGCAGTGCATGGTCTCATTGACTCTTTGTATTGCAGTGTTTATTTCTCGAAGAACTTAGCTGCCAGGAAAACATGAATTTCATGTGTCTCCTTAAAAACAATCAGATAAATCATCAGAGCTGAGTACTACCAGGGGCGTTTGTTGCTCTGAGAAAACTCCTGAGTACATTCTATATCACATGTCCCTTGAGACTTTTATTAGAAAGAGGTAAAATATGATCTCTCAGTTTTGCTGTTTCTGACAAATAATTCTGAATCATGCCAATATCTACTGTATTTGGAATGATGGTGATAGTACTTCTGCATTTGTGTCCTGGTGAGGTTTTTTGAGCTGAGTACACGAACGCATGGCATGGCCATGGCAAGGAGCAGAGTCACAGACAGTGTTCCTTTGCTGCTCTGGAAGAACTGATGTGTCCAAGGTCACCCAGCTCTGAGTACAGGAACGGGAAGTATAACCTGAGGGTATTGAATGCCAATCCTGAATTTCCTTTATTGGTGCTGGGACAGTGGCTGTGTCCTGAGGGATGTCTTTCTGCTGCAGGTGATTTAAAACCTCCCCCATCCCTGTTGCTGTAGGTGGTTCCCTGCTTTGCTGCATGTCTATTGACAGGTGCTCCTAAGAACATTGCTTAATGTTTGAGATGTGTGGGTGCCTGTGACATGGCAGTGGTGGATTTACCAAGAAGGAAAGCACATTTTTCCATCACTGACTTGAATTGTGGTAGGGCTCTCCTTTCACACCTAGCCTTCCCCTGAAGAAGCAGATAGTCTGCCATGTTCCCATGTGATGTTTCAAGGTGATTGACCATCTGCTACATGTGTTTTCTTTTTCTTTTAGAATCTAAAGGCCAGAAGCACAAAGGAATCTAAAGATCAGACGACGAAAAATTCCTTGGAAAGTGAGTGATCCACATAGAGGAGACTGGTCTGTCAGGACTGTGTGGAGGCTGTTGCCAAACCTCCACACTCCATTTTTCTTTTTGAATGCTGGAAGGTTATGAAGTCTGCTGGCTCTACCTGGGAAGTCAGCTCCCTTTTGCTAAGTAGCAGAGCTCATGCAAAGTAGGCTGCCTGCATGGGGAAATGCCTCCTGGCTTCAAACCCCATCAGTGCCTTGGGGCAAAGCCAGCCCAGCCATGGGGCTGCTGTGATTTTAAGAGAACATCTGCTACCCGGTGATAGCACAAATACAACCCCAGCAGTGATGGTTTCATGGGGGGCATTTAGAGAGCCTGGTCAAGATCACGTGCTTGTTTTTGTGCACGTGAATAGAAGACACCCCATGTTAGAAGGAGCTTCCACTCTTCCTGATGTTCCTACTGCTTTGTTTCCACAGCTCTGCTGTACAAGCCAGTGGATCGAGTGACCCGCAGCACACTTGTCTTGCATGTAAGTATCTGAAGGGGAGTTTTCAAACTTTAGACCCCTGTCCTATTTTCTTTGACCTTCAAATTTTCCATGGAGCTGCAGGACTGCAAAAATAAACCTGTTGAGCTGCATAAGAACCTCTTCCCTTTACACTGAGAAGATGGAGTCCATGGGTAGGATACTGCTGTCTCTGCAGTGATGTCACCAAGAAATGCAGGGTATTATTATCTTCTAGAGATAAAGCCTTGCTCTAATCTGTGTGAAGAAGCTGGAGCATCTTGTCCTACAGCTCTGATTAGGGGTGCTCGAGCTCTCCTGCCATCCAGTGCTGCCCATGACTGTGTTCTCTGTGTTATGTTCCTGCTGTCAGGATTTGCTCAAGCACACTCCTGTGAGCCACCCTGACCATCCCCTGCTGCAGGATGCTCTGCGGATCTCGCAGAACTTCCTCTCCAGCATCAACGAAGAGATCACTCCTCGCCGGCAATCCATGACTGTAAAGAAAGGGGAGGTGAGTCTTCCTGCTCTTGTTATTTTCTCAGTTTCTAAATACTGATTATGTCTTTTCTGTGGAGCTGACTAGGAAGTTGCTGTTAAGCTGTTTGTTGCTAAGATACAGTTTATGCAGTGTCCTTGTTCTCTAAAGGATGTGGTACAGCTCCCTCTGTTTTCTGTTCAGAAAACAGTTTGGAAACCGAGAGGAAAAGTGTGATTAGAGTTTTGTCCTTAGCATTGCTATAATCATTTGTCATACGTAATTTCTATGATGCACATTGCCATGCAGTAAGTGGATTTGTATTTTACCTGCAAACTGAAACCAAATGGGAAGCGTGGGAGGAGAAAAAGGTGAGGAAACATCAGAAGTCATGAAAGATTAGGAAAAGCTGTTTTCCAGAATCTTCACTTCCACCATACAATTAATTTTTTGCATCTTTGTTCTAAAGAATAGTGTTGTAAATATGACTGGAAAGCAAAACTAATGGAATGGGTTGGGAAAGCCAGGTCGATGATTGACTCCTAAGAGTGTAATATAACCCTTCTCAGCTGTGTAAGGAGCTGAACTGCACCCAGAGAGGTCTGAGATGTGCAGATACTTCACCTGCATGCAGTGTTGTGTAGGGAGGCCACAGAGCTTCTCTGTGGTGGAGTCTGCATTCCACAGTGCCTTGATTTAGGTGCATCATAATTCCATTAAAAAGGGATTCAGTCCCTCCTGCTAAAGAAAGGCCAAGGCTGGCAGAAGTGTTGAGAGAGAGGGACGTAGGAGATTGGACACAGAGAGGTGCAGCTCAGATAGTAAAGGTGTAAAAAGAGCATCCAACCATGGGCTGATCAACAGTGGCCCAAATTACCCTGTACAAAAACATCTTACAAAGCCCAGGAGATTGTTAAGATACCATGAACCTTCATGATTTATTCTCAAATCCTGACAGCTAAACATGCTTGCTTTTAGCTGTTAAACTGATTTTCAGCTGACAAAAGGTTTGCTGGAAGCTGCAGTTCAGGGAATTTGGTGCACTTTTTCCTGCAAGTCTTGCTCATTGTCTCATTTTGTCAACCGAGGACACCTCAAGCTGAGAAAAGAAGAGGAGGGGCCAGGCAGTTGGAGGCTGAGCTAGAGGCTCAGCCATCAGTCACCGGTGCCTCAGTGACAGGGGATGGCCTCGTTAAAGTGGCTGCTGATTGAGTCATAGCAGAAAGCACAGGCTAGAATGCCCCTCGCAGGGGAGGGAGCAGTTTGTGTTCTCTGGTTGTCTGTCAGCATCTCAGTGAGGGATGCAGGCTTTGTCATGTAGAATCCTAATGAGGTGCTAGAGCCCAGGCAGAGGAGGGGGCTCAGGAGGATGATCCTGCTGATGGCTTTTTGGAGCGGTGTATTTGTCAGATCTTAGAAAGCAGGAAGGGGAGGAAGAGGACATACCAGAGGAGAGGGCTGTGGGTGTGCTAGAGAGGACTGGGAACCCTTTGTGCCCTCCCTCACTGCACACAGCTTTTCCTGAGCCCAGGGAGGAAAAGGACTTGCATTCCACTCTGGGAATCTGAGCACGAATATTTTCTTTAGTCATTTGGTACCAATATCCCACTTGTATGAAAGCAGTAGTGCCCCAGTTGAACCCTCTGTGTCCTGAGAGTAGGTATGTTCACTCTCCATGTAGTAATGCAGACACACAAATCTGCTCCCAGCTACTCTGTGTGGGTTAGTGATGGCTGTTCCTTCCTGCAAGCTGCTCAGCTTGGGGTCATAGCTGGGTTTTGTTTATGCCTGTAAATCTTTCCTTTTCCACTTATCCTTTCCTCCCACTTGCCTTGCTGGTGCTTCCCCCCGGGGTGACAGGACAGTGTGTGGATTGCATCTCCTAATTGACTGCTCTCAATGCATAATGCATTTTTTATTTTAATGAATCACCAGCTTGCTTTGAAGGCTTTTTTTTTTTCATTATTTGTCTTCCTCCCATTGAAGTTTCCTTGGTGGAAAGGAAGGGAGAGTAAAATAGCCTTTTCCCCTCATGTATTGCTTAGGTGCTGATCTCAGTTATCTTTTTTTCCCAGTCCTTGCCTTTTATGCGGAATATTTTTTCCCTTTGAGTGTGTTGTGGGGAGGAATAAAATCTCCTTTGCCAGCCTCTTGCTCCTTCTCTTTTTTTCAGGATTGCTTTGAACTGGGGAAAGCAGCCAGTCTTAATCTCCCTAGTGACAGGCTGCTAAGGAGGGGAGTGCAGGTCAGGAGAGAGTAGAGGCTCATCAGCAGTGTTGTGTTTGGTAGAGGTGATTCCCTGCTTTGGGAGCAGTGACTCAGCCTGCCCTGCCTGCTGGGCACCCTAGATGCCAGGTGTCCATCCTGCACTCCAGCCCCCCAGTTCTGCTGGGCTCCAGAGGCTTTGTTCTAATCTAGTTTCACGCATAGGAACTGGAAGGTTTCTGTCATGTGGTTTAATTTGCTGTGCTGGATGAGTATTTCAGGTAGTGCAAAGAGAGGGGAACAAAGGGAATAAAATCCCTCCCCAGAGGGACAGAAGGAGCTGCAGCAGGGAAGGTAAAATGGATGGACTGAGCCTGTGAACAGAGAGTTTGATCCTTGCTGACTGCAGCAGCCCTTGCTGAGGGCCACGGTACAGAGGAGCCAGCAGAGCCCCAGCCTGGCAACACAGGGGAGCCAGGGAGGCATCTCTGGCCTTTGGGGTCTGTTTCCATTCAGCTTGATCCACTACATTCTATTGCTCCCTTCTGTTCATCACATCTTTCTACTTTTATAGTTTTACCTTTTTTACTGTTTTTTAATGAATTATCTACAGGTACTGACTTTCCTAACTCTCCAAATCACCAGGCAAATGCATGGAGGGGAAGGGAATCTTAGTAACCCTGTACTTTGTGGCTTGGAATGTGAGTGGTCGAGAGTCACCCAGCCCTTGGGGCCATGGAAGAGGCATCTTCTTGTCACTGCTGATCCTTCTGCACCACTGCTGTCTTGGTTTAAAGAGGGGACAAGGTTAAGGCTCTACTGGGGACAGTACCTTGGGGAAGAAGAAAAACAAATGCTTTGGGATGAAAGACGTGCCACTGTTAGGTGCAGAAGGAGGGCAGTAATAACCTTCTGTAGTCTTACTAACAGAGCAGCTCTAGGTACTGCACGTTGGGTTTATTTCAGCTAAGCCTGGATGCAAATGACAGTAGTGCTTGTGTCTTTGCCTGCCAGAGGTCCAGGCTGGTGTTTCCAGCTAATTCAGTGTGTTTGTCAAAGCAGGATTTAATGAAACATCAAAAATTGCAGAGGTGGTGGTCCCCTTCTTGTCTGCTGCTCCTCCTGTGCTCTTAGCAGTGTTGTTCCAGGGCAGTTCAGACTAACCTGAGTGTGGTGGCTGCCACTCTGCCTTGCCCTGGCCTTGTCCTCCCACCCTCTCTGCAGTGTTCATACTGATGTTTGTGTGATCCCACAGCTGCATGGAGGGATGGAGCCTGGAGTTTTGGGTCACTGCTGGCTGAGCGCCTTCATGTCTGGTCTCATCAGCACTAGTCCAGGCACAAGGGAGCTGACAGGCAGCTTTTCCTGGGAGCAAGCCCAGTACCTCACATCACAGATCAGCCTGTGCTACTGTACACCTTTGTCCTTGCCCTGGAGAGGAGAGGCTGCTTGGCAAGCTGCTCTACCATGTTTCTAAATGTGGTTTTAAACTGCAGTCAAGGGACTGGCTATCACTGCCTTTGGCTTCTGGCTGACTTTGTAGAGGACCAAGTGTGCTAGGGAAGGGAAAGGTCAAAGGACATGTGCAAGGGAGCAGAAGTGCAAACTGAAGCCTTTGAAAAGCTGGAAGTGAAGCTTTGACACAGCTGTGCACAGCATGGGGCCTGGTGCCCACTGCTCCTGGAGGCCTTGGGCAGATGTTGGCAACAGAGCACTCAGAAATTATCTTGGCTGCTTCACACTCTGTCTTACAGCTGGAGCCAGAGAGCTCCTGGTGACAGGAGCTTTGGGAAGAAGAAAGAGGCCATTAAAATGCTCAAGAGCAGCCAGTTTAACTCCCCAGGCAGAGCATTTTTTTTAAATTTTTTTTTATTATTTTTTTTCAGTGCTGGTCTTGCAACACACTTACACACATGAAGAATCATTTTCTTCCTACGCTCTGCAGAAAGCCAAACCACCTCTTCCTCACTGACATGTGCCAATACCCATCTCCTGGCTTTCCCCTCCTCCCCGTGCCTCACACACGTCCCAGCCCTTCCTGGTGCTCACCCACGCATGCTGCAGGCCTCTGCTGTCACCACATCGGATGAGCTCTTTCCTCGGCACACAAGTGGGGAGATGGTCTTCTGTGCAGCTGTGGGTCTGCTTGAGTAGGTTCTTAAATTCCTCTTCTTGTAATGTGTCTCAGACAAGCTGGCCACACTTCCTGGAGCTAATCAGGCTGTGACAGCAGCAGGATTTATCATATGCAAACAGCACAAAAACACCGTAGGATGAATAGATGAGCACACAGGTAGTCGTGAGCTTGGTAGCAGAGGAGGGAAAGATGCTCAGTGACAGAGGTAAGAGGAGGAGGAGGACAGCAATAGGCAATCCAAAGAGGATAACCAAGCTCTGGAGAAGGTAGAGGGAGAGCTCTTTTGTTCAGAGCACTCAGGTGGGTGGGAGAAGAAGCAGATGAAAACATGCAAAGAAATCAGGGCCTGGAAAAGAGACATGGAACTTTTATTGCACCAGTACAGCTTTGCAAGAGCCACTGAAGTTAACAAGTATAGGCCTTGTGTGGGAGATTAAAGATGATCCTAATTCACTATATTACAACACAAAATCAAGACTTTTCTCCCACACTTCCTGGAACATCTTTCTGAAGCTGAGCTGAACTCCTGTGCTGGACACCTGACAGTCCTGTGGGCTGTCTGTGGAAGAGAGGGTGTCACTCTGCCACTTTCCTGCCACTGTCACCCTATCACCCTAATCTTATTTTCTCTTGGATGTTTATTTGGTGTTACTGTAGTCAGTTAATTCAGTGTATTTTAGGAAATCTTTAGCACCTTTGGTTACTTTAACAGAGTGACTCTGGGAACAAGAGAGATGGTTCCCCACACGAGAGCTATTATATGTCACGTACAGCAGGCTCACCTATCCAAAAACCCTTGTGTTTCAGGAGACCCCATTTAGCAGGAGGCCACCAAAGGAATAGCTGTTGGTGGCCCTGGGTGGGAGGAGCTGACCAAATTGTTGGTTCCAAAACCACAGCGCCGAGGTGGCACAGAACTCTGGACTGGCAGAAGCCCTGTCTGAGGGGGCTGCTGGCTCCCCCAGGGTGGGAGAGGATGGGCTGACTCATGGCAGGAGGTCCAGGAAGGTGCCCTTTGCTCCCACACTGTGGGGTTTGGCAGGGATCTGGTAAGCCATTGGGAAATCCTTTTATTGTTTCCCTGTGACCTGCTGAACCTCCCGGCAAGATGACTCATTTGCAGCAAAGGATGTGCCCCTTCACTGGAAGTGCCCCTCCTCAGCCCCACGGATGCTGAGCAGCCTGGGGCATGCCTGTTTTGCCCAGCCCTAATAAAAGTTCTCTTCTCCAAGAGAAGCTGGTAGTGAGGAGAGATTTCCTGACTTGATCCACAAATGTTTTCTCCTGTATGCTCCTCTCCAGATGCTTGGTTGCTCTTGTGGCAGCTCACCCCTGCTGCTTGCTGGAGGGACACCTTCCCATCCAGCTCCCATGAGCAAGAAGAAAAGAAGAGTGAAGGGTTCTGGGAAGCTCTGTGTTTCCCTCTGACTGACTGGAATATATCTCTTCACCTCTTTCCTTCTTTTCCAGCAAAGCTTAAGAAGTACAGGCTTGTCCTCTTCCACCCAGCTCTCTTTGTGGGACTTTTTGCTGCCTCAGGGTTGTGCTGTGTCTATGTCAGTGATAGGATTTGGTTCCCAGGAGTGCAAACCCAAATAAACTCAGTGCCAGCTCAACCCCAGGTGGGAATGTGAAGGTTGTTGGGTCATTTGGCATGGAATGGCTGAGCTTTCTGCTCAGGTTTTGGGGAGATGTGCTCTAAGCAGGGTGCTGGGCTCATCTCACACTGTCAGTGCCTGGCAGAGGCAGACAGGTCAGGTCAGGACTGTGCCCTGTCACTGCCAAGCAGGGAAAGGACAGTGCTACATCCCGCTGGGTAGCAGAGATGAGTAAGCTGTGAGAACATCTTTACACCTACAAACAATGAGCAGAGGTTGAGCTAGCAGCAAGCAGTTATTCTCATTGCTCCAGAGGAGCTGAGCTGATTTGCAGTGTAATTAATATGTATCATATCTAGAAACCTGAGATCAGGGTTTTGGCTCGCTCAGAAAATCTCTTTCCCTGCTTATTATTTCTCCCAAATGAAATTCTTTGCAGGAGTGGAGAGTGTTCTTGCTACTGACAACATACCTCCTCCTGTTGGTTTATTTATTTTCAAAGCTCAGTGTTTCTAGTTTCCTATCTGGGCCTTGCTCTCTCCGGCGGGAGGGGAGGGCATGCTCCAGCACCCATCAGCAGCAAAGGCATTAGTGCAGGCAGGAGTTCTCTCCAAAAACATCGAGAAGAAGCCAGGAGGATCACACCCACCTAAAAATAAACACTAACATATGTACAGGCCTTTGTGAGCTGAATCACTGCTGGATGCCAGATCTCCCCAGAGTCCTGCCCAGAGATGGTGCAGCAGTCTGCCAGGGAGCAGCCTTGCTTCCTGCAGCTCTGGGAAAGGTGCAGCTTTTGCTGCCCTGCTCACAGATTGCCAGGACCTTCATGTAATGGAAGGCAGCACCGAGATGAGCTGCTGACACTGCTCCACGTGCTTTCACAGGTAGCTGTGGTGCTTTTGTAGCTGCAGATGGGAAAATGCAGGCTCCTAGTCCCTGTCAGGAAGTGTAGGGTGCTGTGAGACAGACTGTGGAGAGAAGAATTATGTCTGCAAGAGCATTTATTTATCATGTGTTCCTTGCCACAATGCCTGCTAGGCTCAGGACTGATGTGGTTTGTTTTCATTTTGGAGAGCCAAGATGGGAAGAATGGTAGGCAGAAGGAGAGGCAGCTTGGGGGTTTGCACTCCCACACCTCAGCAGGGAATGCATTCGGGGTTTGCTAAGTCATGCAACAAACAGAACCCAGGGGCATCACCTGAGAAATGGAGACATCACTTCTGCCCTGGGTGTCCTGACCTTGCCTATGGGAGCTGCTCTCATGGTGCTGCCCCATGGAGACCCTTCTGTGTGTGTGCCCAATGTGGGGGTCCCAGCCATGGGGCAGGGCAGCAGGGACACAGGGGCGAGTCCTGAACGTGGGGCCAGGCAAGGCTGGCAGTGAGGCAGCTGGGGAGGGGCTGGTTGGCCTTGGACAGGGTTAGCAGAACTCTGTCCAGCCACAGCGCTGTCTAGGCAGATGTGGGATGTCTGATATGTCACTTAGTGATGGCAGAGGAGCATCCTCTTGGCTGGAATAACAAAGTACAGGTCAGGGAGGAGTTCCTTAGCATACCTTAGCATGTGTGGAGAAGCTGATGGCTCCTGCTTGTACTGGCTGTGAAGTGAGGCAACACTGACAGTTATACATATTGGTGGAAATAAAACTTGCACAGAGCTGAATTACCTGACTTCTGCTTGAAAATCAGTGAGAGGTATCTATTCCAGATGTGCACTGAGTCCTGCTGATCCTGACAGCACAGTGGAGGACCTGAGCACACAGCAGGGCATGAAACTCCTGTCATGGTCACTGGAAGGAGCACACAGCCACTGTCTATGTGCCTGCATTCCAGCCTTTTGGGCTTTTAACTATGGAGTTGTCCATCCTGCCCCTCCCTCCTAAGGGAATTAGGAAGGCAATGGTTCTGGCTGCCAGTGTGTGCCCCTTCTTTAGGAGGCTGTAAAACTCCATGGAGCTAGAAGCAGGATTAAAGGCATCAGAGTTGTGCAGTTTCTTTGCATCTTCTAGGTTTGGGGAATCTTTATATGATACATAAAGAAGATTCCAATAGGCACGTGGTGAGGGTACATCCAGATGGTCCTTTTAAAGCACAGGCTGCTAAGGGACTCCTGAGACGTTTGCCAGATCCACGCGTTCAGGAATAATCCCTTAACAGCACTTGTAATGAAGGAGCAGCAATGGCGTTCAGCTGTCAATGTTGACAAAGTCGTCCTGTGAATGGGAGAGGAAGGGGTCGAGGGGAGCTTTGCTGTCCCTGCTGGGGTGGCTGAAGCTGATGCAGAGGCTGGGAAGTGACTCTGGGAGGAGTGACTCCGGGAGAAGCGGTATGTGCTGCTCTCTGCTGGCTCGGGAGGGGACGATCCGCTGGCAGGGATTCAGGAGCTCTGGTACGAAGGAGCTGAGCAGTGACTCACAATCTGCACCTGGGCTCAGGAGCAGGTGATGGAGAGAAGCCCAAAGTCTGACCTAGCACCAGGTAGGGGAGAAGATGCATGGCTCTTTCTGCCTCTGGGAGTGAGGGCTGCAGCAGGGAGCAGAGTTGAAAGCAAGGAGTATTTAGTAGACTTTTTCATTGTTCTGAATTAGACAAATGTACTGAATTTGCTCTGGTAGGAGTTATATCTAAGGACTGTGTTTGCCCCAGTGCCAAGTTTGGAGCTCATATTTCACTGAAACATTTTCCCTGTTTTTTCCCCAGCATCGGCAGCTGCTGAAGGACAGTTTCATGGTGGAGCTGGTGGAAGGGGCTCGCAAGCTGCGGCATGTCTTTCTTTTCACTGACCTCTTCCTGTGTGCCAAGCTCAAGAAGCAGATTGGAGGGTGAGAGTTTGCTTTTGGACTTTGTGCTTTGCACCTCAGCTATAACAGAATCCTATGATTTATGATTAAAACAGAAGCCTGCTGTTTTAATTGCATGTGGATACCCCAGACCTGGGTAACCATAATCCACAAATAGTTAGACAAGAAATGATCAGCAAGATAGGAATGTTTACTGTATGAGATCCTGTCTAAGTCCTGACCCCTCAGGAAAGGTAATTCCTCCCCATCCCTGCCTCTACCTAGGAGAGCAGGATATGTTGTAGCTGCTGGTATTCTGGACAAACATCATTCATTTTTCTACTTTCCCTTTCTTTTAATAGGTGACATTCTTCACTTTTTTTATGACTAAGGTTGTTAATTTTGGCTTTGCAGCTACAGCATGTTAACAGTTTTACAGAAAAATGGCAAAGGTGCGGTAAACAGACTATGTTTACCAAAGTAAACATATGTTTATGACCCCAAAATACAGCTATAAAAGTAGTTTTGCTGACACTTTTCACAAATGAGGGGGGAGGAACCACTACCAATGTACTTGCCTCAAATAGGGCTTCTCTTCATTTGGTAAACATTCTTCTTGGGGACACTTCTCTTCTTGCCTTCCTCAAGCAAAAAGTTACGCCTGCCCTTTTCAAAGCACATGCTTGTGAGGAATGAAGCTTCAGAGGAGTGGGACATTCCCAAGAATGGATGTTCCTGACAACAGAAGTGAAGAGGGAATAAATGGCACGAAACATTAAAAAAGTGAGCTGCTTATCCTAATGAAATCCCTGGAGAATGGCAGCTATGAGCTGTAGTTTCTCTCCCCTGCTTGGATTACACAGAGGTTTATATCCATTGGCTCACCTGCCCCACCTTGGCCTCAGCCTGGGCAGGAGAGACCCAGGTTCAGATCCCAGGGGGCCACCAGGTCACAGGTGTGACACAGCTTTAGAACTTTGCCACACCAGAGGCTTCAAAGAGAGAGCACACGGGACCAAAATTCTCTGCAGGAGATGGATGTGGTTTCTTAGGATGAAAATAACTAGATTACAAAATTAATTGCTTTTTTATGTGCAGTACCAGCTACTGGCCCTGCTAGGCTGTCTTGCTGAAAATTTTTCCACGTGGGAATCACAGTAAAGTTGGGCTTGTATCTGCACCTTCTGCACTATAGCGGGGAAGAACTTGTGGGAAGGACACCAAACACCAGTAGTAGTAAAAGGTTTGGACCTACTGCCTTTCAGAAAAAGCCAACAATATGACTGCAAGTGGTACATCCCGCTCACTGACCTCAGTTTCCAAATGGTGGATGAGTCTGAGGCAGTGCCCAATATCCCACTGGTACCTGATGAGGAGCTGGATGCCATGAAGATCAAGATATCCCAGATCAAGAATGACATCCAGCGGGAAAAGGTAAAGGAGTTGAGCGCTCTGTGGCAATGCAGACACAGGGCCTGTACTCAGAAGAGGTGCTGGTGGCTCCTCTCCCAGGGCTGCACAGTGTGGGGAGCCAGGTTGCAACAGACTCTTCAGCAGGGACTTGTGATAGCCAGGTGCTTTCCTCATCTGAGTGCACAGCCTGGGTGATGCTGCCCTGGGAGGAGACAAAAAGACCCTGTGGTTGTACCCAGCAGCTCCTCTACTCAGCAAAACCACCTATGAGCATCCATGTGGAGGGCTGGGATCTTATGCTGCAGACATGAAAAGGAGTGGGAGTGTTATTTGCCAATTTCTGGCTGTTAAATTATGATCCTGCCAGGGATTTTGGTCAGAAGCCATATACTCTTGAATTTTAGGAGGCTCATTTACGTCTTTGAAGCTTTTTCCTACTTCACTGATGTCAAAGCAGCAGCAAATGTGTAGAATCAGCAATTATGCTGAGTGGACAGTCAGACATGGACATGGTGTATCTGGCCCAGGCTTCTTTTTGCTTGCAAGATATGTTTTCTGAGATCTGTTAGATCCCAAACCTTCCTGAAGCCTGAAAGAGAAATGAGAGTATGAATACTGGTGGTGTGTAGAGCAGGATATGAATAATTGATCATGCTGTGGGAAGGTTATTCCCCACATTTCCAAAGAACATGCTTCTGCCTCTCAGCCCTGGCTGGCTTTCAAAGAGGGCTTCCTGGAAAAAGTAAGGTATTAGGAAGAACACTTTGTGGAAGCCTTTTACTCACCAGTTGCAGGTGTCTAAGATGAGTGCTTTGGTGCATCAGTGCTAAACAATACACATGGCTGGGTTTGGAACTGGATTTTATCCAGGAAAAAAATGTATTTTTAGTAGAGCTCTGATGAAAATGGATCAGTGGGTGGTGAGCAGGAGAGTTCTGGGCAGCTTCTACAGAAGTTCCTTAAAGTCTCCTTAGTTAAGGACACTTGGAGGACCTGGCAGTGCTATGGCTGCCCAGTGATACAATGCTACTGCAGCCTCTGGAACAGAAAATACAGGGTACAGCTGGGACAGTGGCCACACACCTCTGCACTTCAGCTGAGACAGCTGGAATTGGGGAACAGAGCCCAGTCCAAGTGTAGAGATTCTGCAAATAACACCTTTCTGAGCAGCTGGGAGTCCTGTGGATCCTATTGACAGCATTTCTTCTGCTCTGGGGCCATTTACCTACTCACAGGGTAGAGACTGTGGATTTCAAACTAGCAGTTAGTATAAACAGGGCTGGATTTGGAGAATAACACATGTCCTTTGTCTCCCTCTCTCCCACACCCTTCAGAGGGCCAATAAAGGCAGCAAGGTGATTGAGAGGTTGAAAAAGAAGCTCTCGGAGCAAGAATCCCTCCTACTGCTGATGTCTCCCAACATGGCTTTCCGGGTACACAATCGCAACGGCAAGGTGAGAGCACCCCTGTCACCCTCAGGCCAGAGATCGTGGTGACTTGTGTCTGTGACTGCACGTGCTCCTGCACAGGGAGGGCTTTGTGGCCTCTACTGTGTGTCCTCAGAGCACTTCCCAAGCAGCAGACACCTCGCTCTTGCTGTGCCAAAGGTTATGATGACATCCCATAAGGCTGTGACTAATTTGCGTACAAGACAGGCATTTAAGAAATAACCACAGAAATGAATCCTGTGTCTCAGCACCAGTCCTGGTGGAGAAATAGGAACAGCCCTTCACCAGAGATCCAGCTCTGCAGCAGCTTCCTTCTACACTGCCCTGTGGCTTCAAGGCTTGGCACACTCTGGGCAGTGTCCTCAAGGCTGCAGCTGCTCCTGCCAGGGTCATCCTCTGCCAGGGGTATTCCCTGCCCTGGCAGTGCTGTAACCTCTCACTGTGGCCTTTCCATGCACATGGCAAGGGGGTCTCACAGGACTGTGTTACTGCTCAGTGAAAATCCATGAGCTGGTCACTGCTTCCTCACTGTCACTCCTTCATCAGTGTCTAGGCCTGTGCTGAAGGCTTTTGGCATTCTTGGTGCAGCTGAATTCCTGTTGTGAGGAATAGCATAAGCTGCCATGGGAGCTGCTGCAGGGCCACAGCTGCCCTTGGCAGGACGGGGCTCTGTGAGCTCTGACTGTCCGTGTTGGTACCATGAGCATGTTGCCAGAGTCCAGCCTGTCTTGACAGAGATGAGTGGCAGGAGTGCCAGAAGAACAGTCTGTCCTGCAGTTTGCACTGGGGGAGGGTGGGAGCAGGCAGGCCCTGGCCTCAGTGGTGCATCAAACTAATGCATACCCTATTTTCTTCTGTGTTCCTGGTAGAGTTACACATTCCTCATTTCATCAGACTATGAAAGAGCAGAGTGGAGGGAGAATATCCGGGAGCAGCAGAAGAAATGTGAGTATTCCTTAGCTGTCATTGGTACAAATACAGTGATCTTAAGAGAACAGGGCTCCAAAGGATCAGGTGGGACAGGATTCCCTGCCAAAACAGAGATCTGCATTGAAATCCACAGTGCAATATGGATGTCTCCTGTCTGAGTCTGTTTGGGGAACTGCTGTGGCCAGAGGTGAGGATTGTGTAGAGAGAGCACTTAGTAAGTAAATGTGTGTAGAGATTCTCCCATTTATCCTAGAGATCAGAGCTCAGTGCAATTCCACAGAGAGGGAAGAGCCTCCCCTTTTTTCCTGGCTCCATTCAAAAGAAACTTAGTTACTTTTATGGCATGGTGTTCTTGGCCTTGCAAGGAGCTAAGAACCCCTGTATTCCATGTGAACCATCCTGAGACTTTACATGGAAGAGTAACTAAATATGTCCCCAGTAGAGTTGGGCTGCAGCAGCAGCAGCAGTATTGCCCCGAACACCTCAGTGCTGCTGCTCAGCATGGCCAAGGGAGCATATCCCCTGTGTGCCCAGGATGAGGGGTCATGCATCCAGCCTCTCCTTGGAATTTTTACTCCTTCCTCTTTCAATCTCCATGGCAGGCTTTAAAAGCTTCTCCCTCACATCGGTGGAACTCCAGATGCTGACAAACTCCTGTGTGAAGCTTCAGACAGTCCACAACATTCCCCTCACTATCAATAAGGAAGGTAAGACCTTAGGGTTTTGCTTTCACATGGTGCAGCTGTAGTGAAACTCTCCCCCTGCCTGATTTTGTGCTTTCCCCCGGAACTGTGCTTACTGTTCCCTTTTGCTGCAGCTTACAGGCATCCTCCAGTATACATGAATCAACTATTAAATGGTCCTTGCATGCAGCTGTTGTGCAAGGTACTGGAGTGCCTGGTGGAGTCCTAGCCTGGGACAGCTTTGAGCTGTGTCTGAGAATCCTTTGGAACAATACTAGTTGGCCAAAATTGTGTCAGGGACCATCCTAAATTACTACTTCACCTACTGGAGTAGACTTCGCCTCTGTAATTTACTTTTTCTCCTTAGAATTTCTTCCATGCTGTCTTGCTGATCCTAGAACTGTCACTGTAAAAGCCCCCTAGTGTCAGAAGCTATAACAGGTGCCAGCTGTGGAACAATCTCCTGTCTGGGTGAAGTGGTTATGTGCTCCTGCCATCCTTGGGGACAGTTCACCCTCTGCTCATTAACCTGTGTTATATCAATCTCATCACTCTCCCTCTCGGCTCCACTGTGAATGTAACAAATCTCTTGTGTCTTTTGTGCAGATGATGAATCCCCAGGTCTCTATGGATTCCTGAATGTCATTGTCCACTCTGCCACAGGATTCAAGCAAAGCTCAAGTGAGTTGCAGTTGGCACACATGAGGTACTGATAGGGTTGGATAAGCCATGTGCTGGGACAGCTGGGCATGGATTGCAGCATCTGTGATGATGGTGAGGAGGTGTTTTGGGGAACTGGAAGTTCCTACTCTTAACTCTCAAAAAGATCACCATCAAGGATTCAGCACACAGCATTTATTGTTAGGCCTAGTCTGTTTGAGGTTTTAACCAGTGTTTGCTGATTAGCCAGCTGTTCTAGAAACGAGTCAGCTCTTACCCTGAATTCTTTCAGCTGTATTTTGTTTCACAATGAAAGAATGGAAGGTGTTATGTGACATCTAGAATTTTTGTTGGGAAGAAAGCGGTGTTAAAATTCAGGGAAATTCCTTGATAGAAGGATCAAAAAAGGTGACAGAGCTTCTTGAGGACAGCTGGGCTGATGAAGGAACATACGTATGGGATGGTGTTACTGGTACTAATACAGAGATGATAGAAATGAAGGCACCCTGTACAAGTGATTAATGCAAGTTAGGAGATTCTAGATACTTTTTAAACATTTTTGTCCCTGTCTCCCCTCCTTAGATTTGTACTGCACGTTAGAGGTGGATTCTTTTGGGTATTTTGTGAACAAGGCCAAAACAAGAGTTTACAGAGACACCACGGAGCCCAACTGGAATGAGGTAGGTTTGATTTTTCTTGATGTGACTTGTTCCACGTGCCAAACATCAGAGCATGGTGGAAAGAAAACCTGCCAATGGAAGAGGTTGCTGCATACTCAGTGCTTGTGCTGCATGTGCTGCTTCTCAGGAAACACTTTTCTGCCAGGTTCATTTGGCTGTCAGGGCTTGCAGAAGATTTTCTCTTGGATGAGCAGAAGTTAAACAAAGAGTCTTGTCCAGTATTTTAAACAGATGCATGCTTGATAATTCATTTAAAGACGCAAGTAAAAATACTTTGAAGGAGATGGTTTTGTTTATTTGTTGAGAGGGTGAGAATTAGCTATAGACATTTTGCCTGTTTACAGCCAACTCAGACCTGCTGGTGAGCAAAATTTCTTACAAGGAAGGTGAGCAAATTTGTGTCTTTGAATAATGCTTTGCTGAGACATGTGAAACTTGACTAAGGAGTAAACCATCTTAGTTTCCAATTTGACCACCTTATAGATACAAAATACACTTTCAGGTTATTTCTAGACCAGTTCCGGTAGGGAGGCCAGTCCTTAAGTGTTCTTCTGATGAGCGTTAAGGAGATTGATTATTGATTATTCTGAGACTGGTGTCCTGTTGTGATGCCAATTGCTCTTTCCTTTCCTGGTGCCCTGCAGGAGTTTGAGATTGAGCTGGAGGGCTCACAGACACTGCGGATTCTGTGCTATGAAAAGTGCTACAACAAAACCAAGCTCACCAAAGAGGATGGAGAGAGCACAGATCGTATCATGGGGAAAGGACAGATCCAGGTAAGACTGCTCAACTCATTCCTGATACCCTTACTGCAAAACATCACAGGACTTTAGAATCCTGGAGTTCACCCCAGAGGTTTCTTTCTGCCTTCTGATTGTCTCAGCACTTAAGATTTTTCCCTCATATAGTGAGGTACACAGTGTTATTCACAGGCAGGAAATCAGCAGCTTTGTCCCTCTTGCTTTGTGCCCTGTGCCTGCTTCAGCATATTCCCTTATGGAATAGCTGCTTGTTTTGATCTCTCATTTACCCATTAACTTCAAAACTTCCACAGCAGTGTATAGGAACTGCACTGCCCCTGGGCACTGGTGAGGATGCTTCATTTGTGACAGGAGGATGCAAGAACATTCTTTCTACTCTGTAAATCATGTGCAGAAAGGCTGCCATCTGTGTGTGCTGGAAGCTGATGGATGTGTTGGCCAGGCCCAGGGACAGCCTGACTGTCCTAGTGACTGCCATACCCAGAGTATGGCATCCATGACAGCAGGCAGCATCCGAGGAACATTTCCACTGCTGAGAGTCAGCCTGGGACACTTTGTGTGGCAGATGTGTAATAGAGTGGGGGAGGTGATGATTGCAAAGGGCTGCTGCTCTTGGAGAGCTGCTGTGATAGAGCACTAAAGCTGGATGTAGGAGAAATCAGGCCATGTGTGGAGGAAAACGTGGGGAACATATGTCCCCCATCTTCTTCCAGTTTGTTGCACTGTCTGTCCACAGCTTTAGGAGGGTGTCTAAATGCCTGCTCTGAAGGCACATTCTTTGTGTTGGAGTGGCTGTTGAACAGAACAGAAACCCTGCCCAGATATCTTTTCCTTTCTGGCATGTTTAAAGATCTCACCAGTTCCCCTCCATTTAGGCCTGGCTGTCCATTTCCCTGTGGATGACAGCTTTCCCTGGCACTGGTCATGCAGGCCAAGGCCATTTGTGGGATTGCAGAAGCAGCTTGGGCTGAGGGTGGCCTGTGGGATCACATCCCACCTTTGGTGGGGTTCATTGCCTAAATGACTTTGATCAAGCCTCTTCTTTCCCTCTGTCCTGTTTTCAGGGAGAGCTTTTGTCTCAAATGCATGGTGGGATTTGGAAGGGAGCTCGTGTGCAGATCAATAAATGCCAGCACAGGGTATCTCCTGTGTGTGTCTCAGCTGACCAGAAATCCCTATGTCCCTTCAGCTAACAAAGGCTATTTTCCACGGAGCTGAGCAACTACAAAAGAGCAAGTTTTCAGCCCTGAAATGCCCTGGAGATTTGTGTGCTCATAACAGAGAACCCTGAAATCACTGACCTGTTAAATTCTACAAATATTTTACACAGAAAGATTAAAAAAAAACCCAACAAACAAAATCTTTCCAATTTTTGGCAGTTTATTCCTTCTCACAGCCATGGGCATTTTTATGCACAGAAATTGTATATTCTGTAAATATATTTTATGCTTTAAGCAAAAATACTCTATGATGGCAGTTAAATGTTAATTGCCTCTTGATTCTTTTAAAGACACCTAATTAGTGGGAAGGTTAAAAAAATCAATTAAAATGTTTTTAATTAATGTACAAATGTTGCATTCTGTTGTATTGGCATATTCAAAAGTTCTCTTGCTTTCTGTAAATCCCCTTTGCAATTTATTGCAAAGAAACTTGATGAATTGCCAGAGTAACCTCTTAATTTTCAGTGATTTCTGTCCCATCATGAATTTCAAACACAATTTAATTGTCATGTGACAATCTGGTGAGATTTTTGGGTTGATAAAAATTATTAAAAGTTTTGATTTTGGTTTAGTTCTATTTTTGAAGTAAACATCATTTCTCTATTAAGAAACCATAATAATGCAAAAACAAAATCTGATTTTAGCCTGTGACTGAAAGTTGGCAATGTTCTCCTAGGTGCTTTTATATCAAATTTTGTTTACCTGTAGTTTATCCTGAGCTTTCTGATTTGTTGTTGCACTGTCATTATTCAGCCCAAGTATGTCTATCTAAAGGCCAAGTCTGTGAAGTTGGGTGGTGAGGATTCTTATTTCATAAATTCCCTCTAGTTAAAAACTCTGGGAACGTGAAGAGTCGTGCCTGCATCCTCATGTTTATAAAAGCAGAGAGGTTTCTCTGTTGGCTAAATTGCAGTGTATTGTTAAGCCATGTATTATTGTAAATATGCAACTTCCCACTACTGGGAATTCTGACTCACCAAATACTGAGCCTCAGTGATGAGGACAATCAAGGAGACGAGGACTGTTTTGGCTGTAAAAATGTTTATTAAATCTCTCCGTTACTTTATGGCAGTGAAGGAAGGAAGGCTGGAAATTGGTCCATGTAGTCACAAGTTTCCAGGAATGGGCAGCAATTTTAATAGCTCCCATTGCTCATATTTTCTTTTCCTATGGAATATTTTATTTGCCTGTCTTGATAGCCAGATGCAAGAGCGGCTTCTTTCCTGCCAGTCTGCAAGTTTTTTATCTCTGAAACATAAAGCCATGAGGTTTTAATGTGGGAGAACCTCTTGTAAATGTAGAAGTGAAGTCCTCAGCAGACCTGGGCACAGCAGTGCTGGGTGTGCAGTGTTGAACTGGCTGGCACACACGGCTGGGGCTCCTGGTGCACCCCAGGCATGAGAAATACTGTTCTTGGGTACACTGGGAGACTGAAATTACTTGGGGGACTGAAGGAGAACAGAATGGACATCACATGATGGGAGGAAATGTGAAGTTTAGTTCAGCTGTGGGCATAAGCCCCTCTCATTGTGAGAAAAACCCTGGGCTTTTCTTTCTGCTGCTGCCTTGCAGTCCATCTTTGGCACTTGGGCTAGCCCTTTGGCTCCTTGAAGTTTGCACTCCACATGACAGACACATGCCCATGTTTGGAGTGTAGCAGCCTTTTGTTTGGTGTTGAGACTGTACCTAAGTGGGCACTTTTGTCAGCAGGACCAGCCTGTGCCTTGGGAACAGTGCTTGAGTGAAGTGATACTTCACCCTGTGATCCAGCTCCTCCCACTGGTGCCTCCTAAAAATGCCATTTCCTTTGTTGTTTTCTTTTTCTGCATGATCAGCTCAAGCAAAATATTTCCTTCTCCCTCACAGCAGTGCTGGAAAATCAGGGAGGATGTGACCTTAGATCACTCACTCTGTGGAGCAGCACCATTCCTCTGTTGCCTTGCAAAACAGTCACTCTTATCTTAATTATCTGGGATGTCTCATAGCAGTGCCCATGGCTATTTCAGGCATTAAGTTGTTTTCTGTGTAAACCAGATTGTCCCATGCTGTACCTCCCAAGTGTTAACTTGGAAACCTTTTACTCACTCAAGCTTGTTTAAACAGTTTGCTGAAGCAGAACATTGTCCCAGCAATGAAAATAGGGGGGGAAATGAAGAAGGCAGTGGGTCATGGCTAAAGGGTGATGGTGGGAAAGATTAACCTGTCAGTGGGGAGCTGTGAGAAGAATGGAGTTATGGCAGGACTGGGAGTTCCCAGCAGCAGTGAGACTTTGACAACATGTATGTCACATCAGTTACAATTCAAAATTGATGGAGTGTAAAGTTGCCTGGGAAATGTAATAAAGGGAAGAAGTAATGTGAGTGAATATATAAAACACACTAACCTTAATGTTCTGCAGTCCATGCTCTTTCATTTCTACTGAGGCTTCTTTGCTTTTCTCTCCTTTAGCATGCTTTCTTTTCTCTCTGGGAAGAAAGAAATCATGATCAAGCTCTCTGTAGTGGTTCCCTAGAGCATAGACACCCTTCCTAGTGCCTGCCTTGCATTGCCAGAGCAGCATCCCCAGTTTGCCTTTTTCCACGTTCTCACCATGCTGCTGTGCAGTCTCAGCCTTTCCTGCCCACTGTGCCCTGTCTGAATTTAGTGCTGAGCTGCTACAAGGGCCAGAGACCTGCACTCAGAAACCCTTGTGGTGCTGAGCTGCTTTGTTCTCCTGTGTTTTGGGCAGGACACAGAGAGGTATTGGCTTGATTCATTAGTGAATTTGGGGCTGTTGCTTGGCACTCCAAATACCAAAGGCCACAGGGGGTCTGGAGGGAGCAGCAAACAGACAGCATGGTTGGTTTGTATTTTCCTGTTCAGCATGAGCTTTTGGTGGGGACTGTGCAAACAAGCCCATGTGATACAGCCTGTGAGGGTTTAGCAGGTCTGTCCTATTTGCACAGAGCATGGAAACAACACAGTGGCTCTCTTTCAATGGAGATGGGGCAGGTCACTCAAACCAAGCAACTGTTTGGGGGAACTGTGTAGAGGAGCAGTAAATTCCACTGTCAAATGCAGACAGCAGTTGCACAGTCCCTGCTTGAGCTGGCACAGCTTGCTCAGAGCTGCCTCCCTTTGCCGTGCTGGCCATGGATTGCATTATTCTACTCAGTGTCCCTTCTTTCAGGTCACTGATTTTCAAATTAGGCCAGAAGACAGCATGGCCCCATTTGTCCTTTGTGCTGGAGCATCATTCTTGCTAGCTCACTGTCCTCAGTGTGCTCTCTCCTTGCCTGCTCCAGCTGCCCTTTCCCTCTGTTGCTCTTCCTGGCCTCAGAAGGTCAGTCATCACTTGGGACCACGACTGCAGCTTGATTGAAGTCCCAGTGACAGTTCTTGGTTTCCTGTTGACTCTGTTATGTCCTACTGTGACTTACCAGACTGTTAGACCTGATCTTCCTGTCTCAGTGTTGCTGAGAGTTTATTCAAGCTTTGCTCTTTTAATAGCTTCCATCATTTTGCTTTGTTATTTAAAAAGCACCTTGGAGGAGTTTGGGGTTTTTTCCCCTTAATTGCTGTTGTTATTGCCAGTGATTTATGCAGGGTTGGCTGGATCAGCCAGCCCTGGTGCCTGCTCTCCCTGGCTGTCCCATTCAGTACAAGCAGGAGTCAAACAGTAGGAGGGAGTGCAGGGGTCCTGCCAGCTCTGCAGGAGAGTTCAGAAACAAGGGAGCAAGAGGCAGCAGCAGGTACATGGGGGTTTACTCGTAGTCCTGGCTCAGCCCCAGCAGTTATCCAGCGAGGAAAAGTCTCTGTGAGCTCTCAGCATCACCAAGGAAAAGTCTTTGCGAGTTCTCAGCTCCAGCACTCTGCTTCTGCTTGTCCTTTGCAGCAGTGTCAAAGTCACTCTTGAGACAGAGCAGGATGGTGTTTGGCTCATATGTTTCAACAGCTATTTACTTGCTTTTGTTTTGTGCAGTGGCAGGAATTCCCTGGCCATTACTGAGACATATCCAGTAATACCTGTTAGCTTAAATAAACTGTAACTGGAGTCTGCTGGACTCTTCCTTTAAAGTTTTTGGCAAATATTCAAACCTTTTTTCCCCTTTAGTCTTGAGCTATAAATAATATAGCTCCCTGCTATAAATAATACACTCAGTGACTCCATTCTAAAAGCATATGGAAAACTGGTTCCCAGCAAGAGGATTGGCTGTGGACACAGCAGGGCCATTTTGGCAGCTTAACCAGATGACTCTTCAGAGCTGGAGATCAAGCTTTCAGGAATACTTAGCATGGTTGCTCCTCATAGGAAACCAGACACTTCAGAAATGGTTTCCTCTTGATTCTGGGAAAGAATTCAGTTGTTGAAAGAAGTCAAACTTCCAGCACGGAAGTGCAGGGTAAAACAGCCTAGAAACTGGCCAGCTCGTAGGGCTCTTGGCCAGCCCCACAGGCAGGGGCGGATCTGTTCTGCCGAGTTAAAAGCGAACCCCCTTGGCGAGCAGTCCTGTGTTTGGGGTCGCTGAGGCACTGAAGCCAAGCACTGCTGCCCATTGGCCTCCTGGACCTCTGCACAATCCCAAAATGTGGGAGCTGCTGGTTACTGACAATTCCTTACAAGGGCTCTTCAGGAGTTTCTGCCGGCGTTGCACCTACAGGAGCCGGTCCAGTTCGACAGGGAAGCATGTGTGTGCTGGCAGCATCCCGCTGTGGGCTCACATTCGTAACAGAGCGCGCAGGGATAAGGTTGGCCTCATTTGTTCTGTTGCTGCTTGGGGTCTCTGCAGTGGGAGGAAGCAGGGAGGAACTTTGCTCTCTGCTGCTTGCCTTTCTTTGGGGAGTGGGGAAGGGTGTGGGAGGGCTTGTCTCTGTAGTTGTCACCAGCACTGGGCTGCTCTGTTGATGATCTGAGTGCAACCATGACCGTGTCTAAGCTTTCCCAGAATTTCCTGCAGCTGCCATTGTTCCAGCATTTCCCTCCCCTGCCAGAGCTCTCTGGCCCTGCACAGGGCTCTGTGAGAGGGGGGAGCTGTGCTGCAAAGCAGCTCTGGTTATGACTATCTGTTTGCTGACAGCAGTAAACCCAAAACAGAGTTTGCTGCAGTTGCCTCTTCCTGTTCTTACTGTGCCTCTGTGTTCAAGAGCCAAGTGTTACAAAGCTGTCTCAGGAGGCACCAAATTTTTGCTTTGGCTGGTTCCAATGGCTGATCAAGCCTCGGGGCAGACAGCTCCTCCTCTCTCTTGCCAGCCTCCCTGGAGCTCAGTGCCACTCCTCAGGCCATCGGATGTGTTTGGGCTCTCCCAAGGCAGTAGTGGAACTACTGGGTGATGTTCTAGCACTTGAGTCAGCTTCTCCCCAGCCTCATCACTGTTCGCTTGAGATCAAGCAAAGCTGAAAAGATTGGAACTTGTTTCTGTTTAATGAGTGCTTGCAATAGCAGGACCTGATGTTCTTCTTGCCTCTATGCTCAAATAGAAATTAAAAGGAATAGACTGGTTGAAGGATAACTTTTCATGATTTCTCAGCAGATTCAAACCATGGTTGTGCTCCCTGAGGTTGCCTTTATAGTTGAGTAGACACTGCTCTCATGTTGCTGGGTTTTCCATGTGTATGAGCCCCCATCAGCCCTGTTTAGAGAACTGCACAGTATCCAAAACCTGGTTTCCTCTGAAACCAGGGAAAATTTGGAGTGTGGGTTATCCTATGGTAAAGAAACAACAAGGTAAAAGTGATCATACTCTGCTCACTTGCAGAAGTCTTCCAGGCTAGCTGGTTTCTCTGAAGTCTGTTCCTAGCTCATGGGTAACTTCTGTTTTCCAGCTGGACCCACAGGCACTGCAGGACAAAGATTGGCAGCGCACAGTCATCTCAATGAATGGGGTAAGTGTGGCAAACAGAAATTAGCTCTGCTTCTGTACCTCCTGTGGGCTTTATTTCTTTGCTTTTCATTGCAGCATGAAAAAAAAAAAAAAGAAGAAAATGTTTAAAAAGTAACAGCTGTTCTCTTTGGTTCAGGTGGAAGTGAAGCTATCAGTGAAGTTCACCAGTCGGGAGTTCAGCCTGAAAAGGATGCCGTCCCGCAAGCAGACCGGCGTGTTTGGGGTCAAGATTGCCATTGTCACCAAGTGAGCTGATGGGTCACATTTCTCCCTGTTGTGTTTCAGGAAGACAACTGGCCAGTGGGGTGCACCTGCCTGTGTCCCCATGAGGGGTTTGGCAGTCCAAGCTGCTCCACTAGTGTAGGAGTGTAGATGTGGCTGCAGACAGGAGATGCTTTACAATCTATGAGCTTCATTTTTTGCAGAGATAAAAGCTAATGTGCACACAGGCCGTTTACTGACAGCCTATCACTCCTCTGAATTCCAGAAATCCCCCTGGCCTTTGCCTTCTCTGTAGTTAGCTGACATGGTCACAAATTTCCAGAGCCACTGAACAGTGATGTTTCCTTTCCATAATCAAAAATGTTCAAGACCTTTGAATCCCATTGTATTATTTTAACCCCTGATCTTTTGTCATGAATCATTTGCCAGCAGAAACCTGTTTGTTCTGTTGTACGGTTTGGGAAGTGTGGAATTTCCTCCCCATGGAATTGTATCAGTTTGAAAGCAGCAGAGTTGCTATGTATCCAAGGGCTGTTTGGGAATCCTCTCTTTACCTGGGCTGAGTTGCAGGCTCTAGGGGCACTGGGACCTGGCCAAGAGCTCAAATGCTCAGGGAAGCTGCAGAACAGCCAGAGCCAGGCTGAGACAGTCAGAAAACCCCCTCCAGTTTTAAAAGGAGTTTTTCAGTTCAGTCCTGACTGCCTGCTCAGAATTCCTACCACCCCATTTTGCAGAAGAGGTTTGCACAAGGAAATGTTGGGGTGCTTGTAGCCATGCTGGCTGGCTGGGGAACAGGCATGGAGGGCCTGGGCTAAACTGAGCTCTTCTGTCTGGCTTTCTTCAGGAGAGAGAGGTCGAAGGTGCCGTACATTGTGCGGCAGTGCGTGGAGGAGATCGAGAGGCGCGGGATGGAGGAGGTGGGGATTTACCGCGTCTCTGGGGTTGCAACCGACATCCAGGCTTTGAAAGCTGCCTTTGATGTCAGTAAGTATTTGTCTGATTTTTCCCTTTGCTCTGTGAGAACCCACCTGAGCACCCTGTCAGGTGGCTGTGCTATTTTTAATCTTATGTGGCTGAACAAACATTAAGATGTAGAGATTCTCACTCAAGGAAAATAATTTTAACCTTGGCCGAATATTTTATTACTGATATAACCCAGGAGATAGAACAGGATGGATCCTTGTACCAAACCATGCTTTTTTTATTCTTCCCAGTAGACATGAAACAATGGCTTTACCTGCCTTGCCAAATCTTTGTAAATAGTAGACACCTCTCTGGGGGGAAACATCAGCAATCAGAAGTCATAATTTCTTCACTGTTGTGAGGTGCCCAAATTAATAGAAATCCTTAAAGAATGTTAAAACAACTTTTTTAAAATCTGTTAAATGCTGGCTTAGACTGCTTTATGAAATAAGTGCTGCTTGGTGTTCAGTTTAGGGAGAGGGGATGGTTTTGTTGTTCTTAATAGTAACAAAACTGAAATATAAGCCCTGAATTGCCTTAGCTACACTCAACAGGGAGTTAGAGAATCTCAGAATCTCTTATTCTAAGCTGTTACAGGCAGGGAATTGGAATAACAACTGCTGTCAGTAATAAAAGTTGAAATGCATGTAAATACAGACAAGTAGGGCTTGTTCAGATCAGGCCGGGGTCGCTGGCACAGCACAGCTAGCCCTGGAAGCGTGAGGTTCCCTGGCCTGATGTAAAGCAATGAAGTGTTTGCAATCATTTGTGCAGGGCTTCTCAGCTGGAAGGTTGCTCATTTAATCTGGAGAAATGTAAACAGGAAAACTCCCAGCTATTTGGGCAGAGACAAAAGATAAACAGACCCAAAACAAGGAAAAGAAGGAATGCAAGGCCAGCAGTTCCTTTACCCTTCCTCTACTCTCCCCTCTTTCAGATAACAAGGATGTGTCAGTGATGATGAGTGAGATGGACGTTAATGCCATTGCAGGCACCCTCAAACTGTACTTCCGGGAGCTGCCAGAACCGCTCTTCACAGATGAACTGTACCCCAACTTCGCTGAAGGCATTGGTAGGTGCAGCACAAGGAACCCTTGAGACTCTTCTGTAGAAGGCTGCTCTTAAAGCATCATAAAACCCATATTTATGGTGTTGGACAAGCTGTGAGGGGAGTGGAACCCAGCTCAGAATGACATTGCCTTCCCACATGGTGCAATATGGGCGCTTGCCGTGCTGTTCTGCAAGCTGCAAAAGCCCAGGTTTCTGAAGGAGAGGTTCAGGCCAGAATGCCAGCCTGCCTGCTGGGGCTGTGTACAATCACTGCCCAGGCAGGCTTCAGGGAAGCCCCCTTTGGAGGGGAGGGAGATGTGTACCTCATCTTATCTTGATGCAGAGAAAAACATCAATGATTGAAAGCCTCAAAGCACTTGAACTGTTTAAGAGAAAAGGATTCTTAATACATTTGTGAAACAAAGGGACGAGATGCTGTGGGGTATTGATGTGCAACTGTGACCTTCCAGCCTATGAAGATGTAGTCACAGTCCTTTTGGGACCATCCATACTGGCGGCCCTGGGACATGACTCAGTCAGATTCAAATTCCCTGCCTGTGGTGATGTCTTGTTCTCTGTCTTGTAGCACTTTCAGATCCTGTTGCAAAGGAGAGCTGTATGTTGAATCTGTTGCTATCACTTCCAGAACCCAACCTTGTGACATTCCTTTTCCTTCTGGACCATTTAAAAAGGTAATATGTGGTTCCTTGAGAATTTAATAGCCTGGCTATTTGAAAAGTGGAGCCTTTTCTTTAAATACCTGCTGAATCAGAGAAATGAAGAAGTATTTGCTGATCTGCTGTGAACGCTCATCAGATAACTATTGTCTCATACTCATTTAGTGAGGCAGTAAATCCTGAATTCCATTCCCACTCATACTGAAAAAGGATTAGAACTGGAGGAAAGGAGTAACAAAAGAGTCAGGGCTTATCTATCACAAATGCAAATTCCTGCTGAAATGTCACTGAGACTTCACCTGCATCGGGATACCAAGACCAGGAAAGGTTTTTGTATGAACCATGATGCTCTGGCCATAGTTAAGGTCTAGGGGACCCTGTCTCAGAAGGTGTCTGAAATACAGTATGATCAATTTTTTTAATTCCAGCACTTTGCCTAACTGCAGTTGTCAGTTCCTTTTGTAGTGAAGTCTGTCTGATTTTGTCTATGCCTTTGTAATATGGTTGTAACTGTGAAAAAGTATTGCCATGCATTTGACATTAATGCAATAAGCTGGCTTAATGCTTGCCCAGTGTGTTAATTTGCATAAGTATGTTGTACATATCAGAGACTGTCCCTGGAGACATGAAAGATCTTCTTAGGAGATTCTGGATTAAGATCCAGGAAATCTGGGCTCTACTTGTGTTTCTGCTGCAGACTTTTCTGCCCTTGGGCAAATACTTTAAACTTTGTGCCTCAGTTTCTCCTTTATAAAACTCAAGATATTTATGAAGGTCTGCCTTGTGCTTTGTTTCTTCTCCCAGGGTTGCTGAGAGGGAAAGTGTGAACAAGATGTCCCTGCATAATCTTGCCACTGTCTTTGGACCAACACTGCTCAGACCTTCAGAGAAGGACAGTAAAATCCCTGCTAACCCAACCCAGCCCATCACAATGACTGACAGCTGGTCACTAGAAGTCATGTCCCAGGTAAAATCTTGAATATGCCATTCCATCTTGTGAAGACGCTTTCTCAGAAAGCAGTCCTGTGGCAGGCCTGGCTCAGTGACCCACTGGGTTTTCATGGTCATTTTTTGGATAAACATAAAACAACTTTTGCCCTCACAAAGGCATTTTAGCCTGTCTGTAGGACAGTGTTCCTTCAGGCAGATCATTTGCATCTGTATGAATACAGCTCCTTTTTCATGAAGGAATGTCTGTGTGTGTGCATCCTGTGTGTGCTTGTGCATGGGAACAGTTTTTGGGGAGTTGTGTCCCAGCACCATGCTGCTGGCCTGGGATAAAAGAATCAACAGTGTTTCCACAATGCTCCTTGGCACTTAAGCCACCTTCACTGATGCACAACAAAATTCTTTAGCCACTGATGCCTCTGAAGGCTGTGCAGAGGACTAGAGCACTCAGTGACAGAGCCTGTGTCACTGAGTCAGACTGGTTTCTCTGTTGTGTAATGGCAAATTCTAGATTGAATTTTTTCTGTGCTGGAACCACCAGCACCATTGTTCCACCTGGAATCTATAGAGTGTCTCTGAAGCACTGCAAGTTCTACTATTTCTAGTGCTGTTATACAGTGTATTAAATACACAGCTGCTAGATGTCCCAGAGAGAGCTGTATCACCAGCTCTCACATAGCCACGATGAGAATGAGTTTTTACAGGGCTTTATTGAATTACCTTGTAATTTCTCTTTCCAGGTTCAAGTTCTTCTGTACTTCCTGCAGCTAGAGACTATCCCTACCCCAGACAGCAAGAGGCAAAGCATTCTCTTTTCCACAGAGGTGTAGGTGCCTGTGGTACCAACAGGACACAAACTGCTTTTGGCATAACTGTCACCCTGGGAAAAAGATGAGTGGTGTTTCCTGGGACTGGCCTGTTCCTGTGCTGGGGAATTCCAGCCCTCAATGCTTCTGCTGTTTAACCAGACACAAGCTGGAGAGAATGGAGAAAAAACCCCCTTGTGCTGGCAGAACCAGAACCGACCGGAGACGGAGCTGTGCGGAGTCTCCACTAGAAGGAGCAATAGACACTTGGACAAATGCACCAGGGAGTGCGGCGATTATTCTTGTTGGGAATGTGACAGAAGGTATTCCTCATTTTATGGATTTAATTTATCGTAAAGAAACTTCAAGATTTCTACTGGACCACTTGATAGGACACCCCTTTTTGGGAGAGGGGGCATTAAAGGATATATCACAACTGTGTCTTTAATAACTGCTGTTTTTCAAGTACTGTTTGAGGCCACAAAAAATAGCATTGCTTTGCAAGAGGAAGGAGAAGAGAAGGGATCTAAAATTCTCTCCACAGAAATTCAAGTCTTGATTTGAATATGGTTCTAAATCAAAAAGTTTTACATACAGCTAGAACTTTCGTCTGGTTGGGAGCTAGGTTTGTTTTTTTTTTTTTTTTGTTTGCATTTTGGCTCACCCAGCCCTTCTCATAGAAATGTTTGTACACCACAGGGAAGGAGATGCCCTGCTCTTGCCTATGTTGCACTTCTGATGGGTTTTGTTGGGTTGAGACAGACTCAACAAAATTAAATAAATAAATACAGCAAATTAAAGAGAGGCAGGGAGGATAATAGTCAGTGATTCTTTTGTTTGTTTGCGTATAAAAGCAGGGGCAATATTATCCAGGAAGGATTTTTATATTCCTTAGACCCCACCAAACTTAATAAAAATTAATTGGGAAGACTATTAATTCCCAACACTCCAAAGAAAATACATTATCTCTGCAAAAGTAATTGAAGAATTTGTGGATTAAAAAAAAAAAAGTCAATGGCTCTCAGTTTGGCTGGCTGCTTACTCCAGACTTTTATCAGAACATCTTTTTTGTGATACTTGAATTTTTGGAGGCTTTGTACATTGTTTCTACAAGAGTCTTTTTCTGATAGATACAAACACTCTGAAAAAATGCCAGAATGTACTTTATGGACAATCTAGCAAGTAGCATGCATTGTGGATTTCCAGAAATTCCAAACTGTTTTAATTAAGAGCAGTGGAGAAATTTCTGTGGAACTCCATCTAACAAAAGGTCTGGCCAAACACCAATTTTGTATTTCCCTCCCTAAATCAGTTGAAGTTACAGGGGTGGAAAAGGCAGCAGTATTTGTCCAGGGAATTGAAACTGCAGAATCTAATTGCTGGTATCCAGAGCTGGCATTCTGGCTCTGAAGCAGATGTGCCAAACATCCTGGGGGTGGGAGCGATGCCATTTTCCTAAACTCTTCCAGCCCCCACTACTCGTACCCAGCTATGCAGCATCCATTTAGTGGCATCTGTCCATCATCATCCTGGCAAGAAGAAAAGTACAGCTGGAAGACAAGGGAAGGAATTGGCACAAAAAGGGGTGGGAGGGACAGATTTTGAAAGATTGGTAGGGTCAGGTTGTCAACATCATTTGGAGGGAAATATGACACAGACAGCAACTCTTGTGCTGAATTGCACATTTTCTGCTGGGTGATCTGCAAACTCAATTAAAAAAATAGCGAAGAAGTATTTAAAGCAAATAGAAAAAAAATAAAGGGAAATTATTTTGTAGTCACTGTAATTCTGACTGCTGCAGAATATTAGAAATTATTGTACTGTGAAGTTGCGAAATCAGAAAGGAAAAAATATAAATTTCAATTTTGTGAGTATATCAATATTTTGCATGCTTTGTAAGGATTCTTATAGGAATTTAATATTGCTTAGTATCCCTCCCTCCTTAGGTCTGGGAGCAAACCTCTTTGTAATGTAATGTACAACTAGAAATTCCTTCTCTCTTGTATGTATTTCCATGACATTCCAACTTCTGAACCCACAAAAAAGAAAAAACTGTGTGTAGTAGGAGGTGCTTTTTGGGGGAGGGAGGGAATGAAGGCAAGGAAACTTGAAGGCTTAAGATTTTGATTTTTTTAATTTTTATTTTCATTTTTTGCCTGTTTGAAGGTAAAAATAAGTCACAATCCTGAAAAAGCATTGACTTGAGCCATGTCCTGCAGAGCAGTAAAGCATTCTCTGTGTTTGTTTCTCTGTATTTGTTCTCCCTTTTCCCCAGCAGCTCTACAGCAATCCTTGCACTCCTGCCTGCTCCCACTCGGGGGATGGCCCTGAGGCAGGAGCACTGCTGATGACTTCAGGAAAAGGGGAAAAAACCCAAGCTACACCTGGTGCTGGGTGATAGCCTTTTCCTTTGGTGTTTGGAATCTGTGGCTGCTCCTTGCAGTGTTGAAACTGGAAAGCAATACCATAATGACTGTGCCAATTTACTTTTGCCCAAGTTTTTAATTTTTATTTATATAGGAAGTTAATTTTAATATTAAATTACAGATCTATAGTATGTAACCATGAGAAAATTGCTTTTGCTTTGGTTACTGTGACAGGTTGTTGCTGTCAGTCTCTCATTACAATGCTCAGTTCTAATGTAATGTTATCTAACATGCAGGCATGTGGATCAGGGAAAAAAGTTAATTTAACTTAACCCATTAATTATTTCTGTTAAGTATGAATATGTTTTCCCCAAAGCTGGTAATTTTGGGCTGGAAAAGATAGTGGATCATATTGCTGATGATGAAATCATGGACTGATTTGAAATATGAGAATTGATTTCTTGAGTTTCCTTTAATTTTGCAAATAATTTTTTTTCCAATAGTCTTATGTTTTCAGAAATTAAGTATTTCCAAAAGGCTTTTATGTTTTGGTTGTTTTTTCCCCAGGGATGTTGGTTGGGGTTTTTTGTTTGTTTGGAGGGGTTTTTTTGTGTTTTGGGTTTTATTTTTACTTTTTTATTTTTTCGTAAGCCTTATCATCCTTAAACAAAAAGGGAAATGCAAAACTTGGCTTTAGAAAAGGCCTTCTGATTTCTCCTTTTATACATTCCCTTGTGAGTTGTGTCAGAAAACTGAACTCTTTTAATTTTCTGTGTTAAAAGGTACAATATAAACAACACAAGAGCAAACTAGGAAAAAGTTACCCTTTATGTGTGCACTGGGAGATTTTACTCCTTCAGTTTCTAATGTATTGGAGAGACTTTTCTACAAATGTTGCTTTCAGGAACAGGAATCTGAAATGTTTAAATTTTCAGCTAAGGAAATTCAAGTGATTAGGATAGTCTGTGTCTCTCCAGTTTAAGGAGGGAAATAAGCATCAGTTTTCCTGGCATTTAGAAACTACTTAAAATTCTTGTGGTTTTTTTTTAACACTGAAAAAGTTTTTAAGTAAAATTCTAAGAAGTTAATCAAATGAAGGGAAAAGTTTTCAAAGATGGACAAGAAATAATAGTTACTAGCTCAGAGTCAGCTTTGTGTTTGCTTGTGCTTTGTATGGGAGGGAAGTATTGGAAACCAAATTTAAATACATCCACTCAAATGCTGCTGGTGTTCTTTATTCTTGCACATTTTTAACAAGTTGAGGTAGTAGCTAAGCTATTTCAGGCTGTATTTTAATGCTGCTATTTTTCAGTGTATCAGCTAAGGGCAAAATCCAGCAGTGTGGTGCCTGTCCTTGCCGGTGCCCACTGCCTGCCTGGGCTCTGGCTGTCATCGCACGCATGCGGAATCGTCCGGCAGCACGCGGCCCTTGTGGTGCTGGCCATGAGGTGGTGGAACCACAGAGGATATTTATGGGAGGTGCAGGATTTTTACAGTTTATTAGTTCTACCTGTTAAAAACTGTTTTATGGTTGTTCCTGTTAGTTTTCTATGAGTTATTTAAACAAATGGACTGTTCCTTAAGGCAGATGTGGATCTCCAGATTAGTTTGTCACCTGTGTAACACTGGAAGGTATCACAATGTGTTCATTTACCTTAATGTGCCATTCTTGCAAGTGTGTATAAAATGTAAACTGACCAGTGTGGTTTTAAAAATGTTTAAAGTCTGATGGCAAAACCCCAGCCTTCTCCAATTCCTCACTAGGTAATCCTTTTGTTTCAGTGCTTGATCACCTATTGGGATAACTTTATCAGACGTGGCATTCTTCTTATGGAAATTTTAGTATAAAATGGGAAATGTTTTAAGAAAAACTTCCCCTGTTTACTTTAATTCAAGATGACAGGGACTTAAAATAACAGAAGACAAAAATATTTGTGCAGGAACTTGGGGGTTCCTTGGGGTAACTTGGGGGCTTTCTTCTTCTGTTCCTTGAAGAAGAAAAATCTGAAAGGGCAATTCCTAGATACGATCAAATTAACCAAATTCTTATAGTCACTTGTTTATGCCCTTTTAAATTTCTACTCCAGCGATGTTTCTCTTTGTAGACTTTGCTTTTGCTTCACTACTATTAGTGAAAAATAAACATGGTACCATTCCCTTCCTTTAACACAGAGCCTGTACAACTGAGATACTGGAGCCTTGGACTAGTATTAGCAATTCTCCATTCTGAACTAGGATGAAACAAATGTTCATGTGTGTTCTATGAACTTTCTAATTGGATAGAATTAAATCCATGGATTGCCCTCAAAATCAACAGAAGCTATAAAGGAAGCACTTATGGTTAATAGACTGTTCCTTAACGATCTTTAGGGAAAACCAACATAAATGGAAAAGGGAAGCAAAATTAGGAATTGCTCAAGATCACGTTGTTTGGGACTAGAATGAGGTTCTCATTTTGAGTTACAGAAGGTGGCTCATGCCCTAGATAACTCAGCAAAGGCTCTCTTGCCAGTAAATAAACATGAATACGGGAATGCCAGGAATTTATCTACAGCAGCCTCACAGTTCTGATGTGCTGCAACCCCTCTTTCTTGCTAGTGAACATTCACAGTTCAGTGCTAAGAAAGCAGAGCTTACCACTTGCTCTCTACCATTTCCCCCTGAGGCAGCAGCTATAGCACAGGTATGTTATCATAGGTGAACCACCACCACAAGGAAGTAAAAAGCTCCCAGAACCACAAAGTTGGACTATTGTTTAAGCTAGAAGTCTGGTTTTAGGTTGCAAGGATGAAATGCCACAACAACTGTAATGACAGAAGGATTGGGGCAATAGGACCAAAGCAAACCTGAGTGTATGTGTTGTCTTGATTTTCCTGTCCGTGACCATATAATTAGATTTATGCCTTTTGGGTTAAGCAAATTCATAAATGCTTTTGTTGAGAATTATTAAATTATTAAATTACCTAGTTTGCCTCTACTGTTGATTCTCTTTGTGTTACCATCTTACAGTGACATTGCTGGAGGCCACTGCAAAACATGCAGAGGTTTTTGCATCATTTTTTTCCTGCTGCCATGTTTCACCTCAGAGTAAGACAGACCCCTCCTTTGCCAACAGAACCACTTCACATCTTTCTGCACTGTAGCAACTATCACACTGAGAAGTTTAGTTTGTAGCAGAGCTAGAGAGCAGAGCCCTGGAGATAATTAAAGTATTTTCAGTCTTCTTGTGCTGAGTGGACCAGGTACTGCTGAAGTTCAGGGCCATGTTGTGAGCTAAGTAAAATTCTATTATTGACAGCTGTTCAAGTATATTTAGGAATTAATATAATTACAGAATGCCCAACTAGCAGAAGTGTTTGCTCTACTGCTTTGTCTTAATCACAATCATTTTCAAATCCTCTTGTCAAAAATGGTTCACTAGAATACAGAAAAATTTATTTTGTGCTAGAGCTTTTGCTTTTGTAACTGCTGTGGTCTTTCCCCCAGTGGTAGGATGTTCTGAGGCATTCTACAGATGAACTGTTTCTCTAATCTGCAGAATGATTTACACCACACGGCATTTTATATCCCTGTGGATGTACAAAAGGGCAGGCTTGTGTACAAAACAGCTTCCTGCCTGCAAGGAGACTCCAGCAGCTTCCTGAATATGACCCCAAGCAAGGGTCACAGCAGGTCCAGCCCACCAGAGAGCAGAGGCCCTGCTGCTGCTTGGGTGCTCCTGTCTCCCCTGGGGCAGTTTGATGAGGCTCAGAAGGCAGTTTTGAGTTCCTTCTTACTGCACCCAACCAAGTGATCAAATGCTGATTTAGAATAGCTCAAAATTCCTCTATTTTAGTCCCATTTTGGGAGAAACAGGGACAATGGTAATTTGGGATTATACAAATAGCTGAAAACACATCTGTATCTAAAACCTATTTCATATATAGTAGATGGCAATGTAAAAGCTGCTATAGCAAAAGGTCATTTCTCCACAAGAGCCTTTTCCACTCCCTGCCTTCTTTACTGCTTCTCACACCCTAAAAGAAGTCTTGTCTTAGGTTTCACAGTCACATAGAAAGCTTGCAGAATCCTGGATAAAACTTAGCTATGCAGGGACCAATGTTTCACAAGTACTACAAGTGATTACCAAGGTAGCAAAAAGAGGGTAAGGAATTATTATGTTGGGCTAACTGAAAAGCATCACAATGAAATGGTGAATTTAAAAGTGATCTCAGAGCAGGACACTGAAATGTTGTCCTGTCTGTATCTGTCCAGCAAAAAACAAACAACTCAGCCTTCTCTTGCCTATGTAAGTTGTGTAGTTTGTTCTTATCTCTAGTATTATAAGTGTTTATAATCCATGAAGAATTCCAAGGAAAGGAGTTAAGACTATTTATTTAAATATAAATACAATTAAATTATATAATTAGTCCTAAATTATCAGATGTAGGAGACAAACAACTTGTTATTGTTTGGATAATTTTGGGTTTCATCAGAGCTAATACAGTTGGCATTATTTTAAACACTACCATGTTAGGGAGTCAGTTTCTGACAATTTATCCTGCTGTTGCTAGTGCTTCAGTATCTCATAGTGCTCTGTTTTGGGGAAAGAAAATCTAATCCCAGTAATTTAATATGGAAAAGTGTTGAAACCATACTGCTAAACACCTCTCAGTTTAGGCCCAAAGAGAAGGGGAAAGGGAAAAATTATCATTCTGGATTTTTTTTTTTTTTTTAAACTTTCTGAGAAAAGTGGTATGAAAAAGGGATCCAAGAACTGTATTTGGGGGAAAAATGTCTTAAGGCATTTGTAGCCTTTCTTTGTACACAATGTTAAATAAAATCTCCTGTATCTATGTCCTCAAGTTCTTTTGGTCTTATTTAGATAAAAGTGGGCCTGCATTACACTGAATGTGTGAATTGCATTCAGCTGAGTTTGCTGGGGGCATGGAATTTAACACTGCTGTTTCAAAATAAAAGCTGCTTCTTGTTTTACAAGGCAAAAGCTGTATCACCTAAAATCTAGAGCTTAGAAAACTAAGCTGAAACAACTTGAATGTGTGGAAATACTTTACATGGAAGGTAGAGAAATAGCTGAACAACCCAGTCCATGTTCAGATCTGTATGAATCCTTTTGTAGTTCTGTTTCAAAACCCAGCCCATCTCAAACTTTGTCAACTTTTCATTTGTGTGCAGAACACTTGAACTGTAGTTAGTATTTACTAAGAAATCAGCTCTGGCCTCCAGTCCTTCAAACACTGCATGAAATTAGTGGGATTTTGTAGGAATCAGTGTGGAAACTGAACCAGTTACTTAAATCAAATTAACTTGGTGCTTTATTTAAATATTGTTTAAATTATTAATGTAATTAAAGTACATTTATGTTTGAATTCAGTCCAAATTTAATATAATATAATATATAAACCTTTCTACAATAAAAAGATACCTGCTTGAAAGCTCTCTAGCCC